GACTTGTGCTCATTCTGACTGTTCTCAATTATGTGAAAATTTATGTTCTGCAGGTGGATCTGTTTTAGTAGAGTTTAAGAGAGCATTGGATGACTACTAGTCTCTTCTCATTGGTCTAACTTAAAAAGGTGATTGGTTGTTCTTTAAGTTTTCTTCTCTCTTTTATCCTTCTTGTTAATAAGTAGCTGATTGCTTTGAATTTTGTTCTCCAGAACATGGAATTGAGGACTTGGTCAAGTTCAGGCTTACCTGTGGTTCTATATTCTTGAATTGTTGATTCTTGTACCTCTGAATTTAGCTATAAAGCAGTACCTGAGCTCTTTCGGGATTACTTCGAAACCTCTGGCTCTTTTGGCTGATACGTCTTTGCTACAGGACAAGTTTTCCTAAGGACAGGTTAGGCATATGCTTAAATTCAATCCTTCTTTTTCTTTTCCAAATTGCTGAACAACTGCAACTAGATTGGCAAATTGAACATTCAGGGGACAGTTTAAGCTTTAGAAGGAATTCTCACAGACAGCAAGAGATCCAGCTTAAGCTTCTGTCTTTCATCTATGAGCCGATTATATCTTTAGTCTTGCAAGCTACCTAATTCACCTCCTATATTTGGTTTATGTTTGACTGAGAAAGAATGGTGTTCATGTATGCAGTTTTTCCATACCCTTGATGTGGATACAATCCATTACCTTATGATTTGTAATATTCATCCAAGCTATCCTCGCATGACATATATCCGAAATGGTTGGATGGTTCATTTGCTTATCAAGTTAGTGATACATACTGGTTTAATGGGATTTATCATTGAATAGGTAAGTAGAAGCTCAATGTTGAACTTAGTTGTTCTTTCCATTTTCTTTTGCACTCTTTTCATATTTCATATCATGTGTTAGGTTGGCGTTCATATTTGGTTGGAAGGCAGCAGAGTGACCCATAATAGATTTTATATGAGAAAGCAGTTTGGATTGCCTAATCGTATTTGCAGAATTTATAGAATAACGAATGCTCTTTAACATTCATATTTGGTAGGAAGGCAGTACAGTGATCCATCCTGCTCTTGAGCGCCTGACAATGAGCTTGGTGGTCGGATTGGAGGGGCTTGAAAGCTTTATCTCTGTAATTGTGATTTTTGAAATACTGGGTTTATTTTTAGGGATAAAATTGTTTAATTGTGATTTTTGTTACTAAATATTTTTATATATGAGATATGATATGAAGCAAATTTTTATTATATTTAATTTAATTTTTCAATTTCCGTTTTAGTGACCAAAATCTCAACAATAAATTTGGCCATATTAAGTTATTTATTTGGTTGGCTTAAGTGTTTTCCGCAACCAAAATTCATGGTTGTGATAAACTTTTATAACCAAAAGAATTAGTTGTCTAAAATGATATAATAGGTCGACGTATGTATTTTCACAACCAAAATTCATGGTTCTAATAAATTTTCATGACCAAAAAAATTGGTAGTCATTATGATATTATTGGTTGATAATAATCACATAAATTGGTTGTCATTTATATTTATGGCGACCAATCATCTATATTTATCAACCAATAAAGTTAACTATAACAACAAATTTAAAATCGTCACAAAAAATCCGGGTTTTTTACCTTGGCAAAAATTGGTTGCGATAGCTGTCCTATTTGCTACCAATCATTATTTTGGTCGCGGTAGGATTTAGTAACGCGACTATAGCGACCAACTCTGCTACCAAATATTTTTGGTTACAAAAAAGTATTAATAACCAATTTTTAACTTTAGTAACCAGTATATTTGGTTGCAAAAACCCTTTTTTGTTGTAGTGATTTACGCAACAAAATAAGCGATGAATTTCTCACTAATTGCTTAACTGTTTGTTATGTTATAGGTATGAATGAAGACTCCATGATTTGAGATTCGTTAAATTAAAAGACCGTCATGTACAATTGACATTATAATGAAACTATAGTCATCATTTATTTATGATATCTAATTTTTTATGCAAATGCGGCCCAATGCGCTTCTATGTCCTGAATCCGCCGCTGAGTACAACCCAAACTTATATATTTAATGTTATGGTACAAATTAGTTGTACATTAAAGCACCAATTACTATATAAAATAGTAGTAGTGCTCATCAAAACTTGTAAAAGAGACGTGACCGACGGCAGACTAAAACATCGAACCGGTAACAGTTTTTGAAAAATTGTAGCTTCTTGGCCCATTTAAATGCTCTGAATCGTGGAATAGAGGAAGGCCAGAACGTGAGCAGATGATCACTTTCTTCCCTTCTTTTTTTTTCTCCAAAGTCAACCTCCAGATGTGTAATCTGAATCTGGTACCTGTTCTTTCCCCCTGTTGCTATTTTATCGGATTCGAAAAAAAGGAAAACACACTTTGGTGGATCCATTTGATTGGTCGGAAGGCGGCCACTCTGCAGCATTGATTTTTGGAGAGATCGAATTTCATAGAAATGTATCCTGCGTACGTAGAGCCCAACTTTACGATTATAGTACCGATTCTCCCGCAAACCACATGTACACAAAATTTGTTAGAGGGTGGTAGATCATCCAAAGATAATTTTTTTTAACAATTCGAGTTATTGGATACAATTGTTATATATATGATATGGTATTAGAGCTGGTTTGACCAAGTGGTCGTGCGTTCGAATCTTCACGACCCCCAATATTAACAATTTGAGGAGGCGTGTTAGAGAGTGGTAGATCCAGTGGCGCAGCCAGGAATTATGCCAAGGTGGTGCAAAAAAAAAAAACATAACTTATATTAATTTTTTACAATGAACCACGACGTGTTTTCATAGTCTGAAAAGTATCTAAAATACATTCATCATCCAAACTATCAAGGATGTCACTCTCAATGTAACCAACCAAAAAATCATTCATGACATCATCACTCATTCTATTGCGAAGTGTGTTCTTCACATAGTTCATTGCAGAAAATGCTCTTTCAACGCTTGCTGTGGCAACAGGAAGCAACAATGCCAATTTCAGAAGTCTATAGACTAATGGAAACACCCGATGTTTCTTTGATGCAACCATTTCTCTAGAAAGTTCAGCAATTCCCTTTAATCCTGCAAACCTCTGAACTGTCTTCATATCATATATATAAGCATCAAGTTGATGAAGACCAAGATGTAAAATATCATCTTTGGAGAACTCAGTAGGATAAAAAGTAGCAAGCTTCACCAACTTGTCCTTGTCATAGTCGACAAACAAATCGTCTGGATTTAAGCATGCCACACAACATAGCAAATCTGTGTTTATCTCATCAAAGCGACTATTTAGCTCTTGTAACTGCATATCCACGGCTGTATAAAATAACTCAACCTTGTAGTGATGGAGATTGGTGATTTGCTGAGCATTTCTCCTTGGTCTCCCAAGTGGAAAGTATACATCATCCATGTTGACAATGGGAAGAGATTCCTTCGTACAGGGGAGAGGGCCGACTTCGTACAGGGGAGAGGGAAGAGGAAGCGGAAAGTGCAGTAGGAGAATTAGGGTTCGAATGGGGAAATAGACGAGGTCATTTAAATTTAAGTAAACTAACAAGTTACAGAAGGATAAAATAAGTTAAATGCTAAAATTATACGACAAGGAGCAAGTGGCGTGATGGCTGAAGGTGTTTGCGGATTAAGGGAGGTCACCTGTTCGAAACTTCATTCCAGCAGGAGTATAGCTGTATTTTTTAGCTGGGCCTTGCCAGCCCAAGTTTGCAGAAGTATAAAATAAATTAAATGCTAAAATGACACGACAAGGAGCAAGTGGCGTGATGGCTGAAGCTGTTTGCGGATTAAGGGAGGTCACCAGTTCGAAACTTCAATACAGCAGGAGTATAGCTATATTTTTTAGCTGGGCTTTGCCAGCCCAAGGGGGTGCAGCCGACCTACCTTGGGTGGCTGTGGCTCCGCCACTGGGTAGATCCAACATAATCTTCTCCCAACATTTCGAGTTATTGGGAACAATTGTTATATGGCAAAATTAGGAGCCGAGTCCGGATTCATATACATGTAATAAAACATAAAAAAAAAATCTTCTGAATTTTCATAACCCTGCAGACAAATTCACTTTTGGGTATCCTCCAAGAATGCCTCATATTAATGAGTTTGATGGATATGTACTAATATACATGAGTCTTTTTTCTCGTTTTTCGATGTGGTACTTTAATTGTCTCATAACAATCTTCTCCGCAAGACAAGTACCACGAACTTCGTATCCTCTCCTTAGCAATCATCTTGATCCGTAAGACACCTCGTATCAATAGGCTCTTCGACTCAAGGATTTACCAGATGCAGATCTCCTTTGACTCGCCAGACTAACGCAGATCTCAAATTTCGATGTCAACAAATGAGGGTCACCAGATTGATGTCCATCACCCTGATTTCAAACTTTAAAACAGACTTTGATACTAACTTGTTGAGATTGGGTGCTTCATTAATTATTATATGATATTGTCCAGTTGGGCATTAACTTACAAAAGTGATTTCGCTTGTATATTTTCCTATATGTTAAGATCCATGCGGTATGATTGACATGTAACTTTTATCCAAAGTGCTCATCACCAACACAACATGTGAATTTCGATCTATCCACCCAACGGATTCTCATAGTCGCAGGAAAAAAAAAAAAAAAAAAAAAAAGAAAGAAGAAAGCAAGCTTTAAAATACTAGTAGTTTACGTGGTGTGATTGGAATCAAATCCGCCAACAACCATAAATGGATACAGCAAAAGCTTCAGAGTCAGGGGACCCCCTCTGTTCTGGGAATCTAAACATTCATTTCAGGGGATGGATTGGAAGATGCAAAATTTTACTTTACCACCAAAATTAGAGGCCATCCTTTTAGCTACCTTTGGAATTGGGACACAAATATCACCACCATATCAACACTACTCTCCCTCTCCATTATTGCATACTGCCATTCACGTCTCTGTCACATTTCTCCCTTTTAACAACCAACAATATTATTATTATATAAATCTCCATACCTCACACCTCCAAAACCAGATACTAAGTTATCCCAGTATTGCTTTCAATGGAAGAAGACTTGTCCTGTTGTTCTGCTTCTTCTTCTTCTTCTTATCCTCCTTCCACTCCTTCCACTTCCAACAATTCGTCCTCTGCCCATGGCGGCGGCGACAAACACAAGTCGATTCAGATGGTACCCAGATCGGTCTCCGACAGGCTTCTCGACAAGTTCTTCGATGTGACCGAATTCGGGTTCGATTACGAGCAGAGCGGGTTGTGGTCTCCACCGGTGAAGCGAAGTGTGTTCATGAATTCCCCCGGTGGGAGGATATTCAATGAAGAAGAGATGCTCCACAAGCTTAGGAGCGTGATGGATGCTCGCAGTTCCAGCAGCAGGAGATACAAGGCTTGTTTCAACGTGAGTGATCTCTTCACCTAGTAAATCGGTTGAATTTGGTGGGCAAATCGTTGCTGGTTCATTTTTTTTGTACATCGATTATGCAGGTGGTTTGGTGCTGTTGAGTTGAGTGACAGAAAATGAATGAACTCCCTTCCCTGGCTATCCAGAAATGGGGAAATCTCTCATTTTCCTGTTGTAATTCCTTCCTTCCTTCCTTCTGCTCCATTGTTTGGCGTCTTTGGAATTATCATGACATTGTAAATATGCAGTACTGTACTGTACTGTACTGCTAATCTTGTGAATATACATAGTGGCTTTGTTATACAGAAAGCCATTGCAATTGCAGCAATGATTTAAATCTAATGCGTACTGATGAATGTTTTTAATTTCGCATTACAGCTAGCTATCATCACACACCAATATCTTGGGATTGCAGTTAGAACAACAGCTAGTTGCCTGATTTTTCTGCATTTACTGCTTACAGTCGTTCACCTAAATTGCAGAACAGGCAACTAACTAACTAGTTCTATTACACTTGTCTATATTGCATATATGGAGTAACAGTGAAGACCCTACGTCATAAATTTACAATTTTTTTGTTTTTTTTTTATGTCAGTTGAAAAGATAAATATATCGTAAGGGAAAAAGTTGCATCACAAGAGCTCCAGTGGAGTATATATATGAACTGAAAAGTGGGTTCACAAACTATGCCCATCCCATTGACCCCACACACAAGGAGAGAAGGGTGAAAAATCGACCAATTGGGGGTTGTTTAATTTGTTTGGAAATTGCATAAAAATGCTAGAAGCTCGAACTAATCCGTCATGTCGTTTACTCACGTTTGTTCAGTCATCATACTAGTGCACTATTTTTCTTTTGTATACAACGTCTAAATGTCAATCTAATAACTATATAAATAAGCGAACGTGTGGCAGAACAACATCATTGGCTATCTTGATACGATTAATGCTGATAGATAACGAATAACAAAGGTATCATGATCCATACGAGCAAGTGCGTTATCTCGTTGCTTTCCTAGGATCTAGTGTTCACGCTTCTCCTAAATTGGTCAATGGGGAATATTTACCTGATGGCGAATATCTATATATTGGTGCATAAGTAAATGAGAGTCACATTTTTTCAGTTTTTCACCATCTCTGCGTTGGACAAAGGCCAATACCGTACACCGGCGAAAAGAAGTGGCATCTACCTCGAATCCCACCCAATATATATACAAAGTATTAAAAAAATATATTTATCTTTCCTCCACATCACCCACCACGTGGTTCCAATATCATCACGCCATGTGGGCCATCACGTGATGGTCCAGAATGAAAGAAAGAATTAACAAAACCACTCACGTGCTCGTCACGTGCACGGTTCCACCTCCACAGAGAGCTGACAAATGTTAAGCCCCCGTCCAATCAAATAACGTTCACAACTGACGTTCTGAGTCGTAGCAGTAACTAACTATAGGGGTGACGTAGCAGTCGGCAGACAGACAGTAAGCCTACGCCATGGTTTCCCCGTACCTCACAGATCTGAATCTGCCTGTAGGAATGACAGATAGAGGAGGAGAAGAGATTCCAAAAAGACTGGCAAAATATAATACATTCCCCAAACATAACTCGATTAGCATGCTCAGGACAAGCACTTGCTGACGACGTTGGATTGAGAGAGTCAATATCTACACAGGAGTTGATTCACATTGCTACCGATCGATTACACGGGAACTGGACTTCGGTCTAACAATTCTTTCCCAGTGACGCCGTCCTTCAAGCTTTTGAAATACACGTCGTAATCCTTCTCCGGCGGTGGGTTTTCCGGGTCCACTGTGAACGGCTCGCTAAATGGGATCACACTTTTCACCTGATCAAACAACAAACAGAGGGGTTTCTTGGTTAAACTTACAGTCAGTAGGCCTACAATGTACTGAATGAGCATAACATAAGCACAACTGATGGAGATCAAAGAGAAGGGGGACCTCAAATGTTTTGTCGCACGCATATGGGCTGTCCAAAGCAGCAACGCATATCCGAGCTACCTCTTCTCTTGACACTTTCCCCTACAGAAACGATGTCTTTTCAGTTTAAAAAAGGCAACTTGTACACCCACTAGAGCAAAGATTGCTCAAGTTTTGCAGCAACTGGGAATAGTTGGCAATAACAAACACCAAAACAAGAGAAAAGTCGAGAAGCGACGTACTGTTATGTTGTCCCCCTGCTCAAAAATTAGATCTGCTCCAGCCGGCTCCTCAGTTAAAGCACAGGGTCTTACGATTGCGTATGGCACGCCACTCTCACGTATAACATCTTCCCCCTGCAAAGGATATGAACAGAAAAAGAAATCAGAAAACTAAGAATGGCAGTATCTTCTTCTTCTTCTTCTTCTTCCATGCTAACTATTTTCTTCCACATACTAATGACTACTTAGCTTTCTTCCAAAAAATTTGGGTCTGGTTATAAATAATAATAAGAAGAAGAAGAAAAGATTGGGTCTAGCAGGGTTCAAGTGTGGTGTTCTTGAGGTTAAATCACTCCCCCTTTACATTTCCTAAATAACAATAAGAAGAAAAGATAGGGTCTAGCAGGTTCAAGTGTTATGTTCTTGAGGAAAAATCACTCCTCTTTTTCATTTTACTAAAACCTTACTTGTTCAGCCTACCTAGTATGCTAGTTTTATGACTACAGAAACATGTAACGTGCTTCTCCTTGATTTAGTTTCATATGAACAGTAGCAAACCTTCAACTTGAAGGTGAGGATAAAACCCAATTCCTTGTTCAAGCGAACAGCAGGAGGTTGTTTACTGAGATCAAGACCAGGCCTCTCAGGTCTAGTAACTCCAGCAGAGCCGATGTGAACAAACCTAAGATGTTCCATGAATCACAAAAGAATCCATGTCATCCACAAGTTTACTCAATTGGCAAGTTTTAAAGGAGCAAGTAGTATGGAGAAACCATATTTAAACCTGGGAGTAACAGGCTCTTTGATGAATGCTTTTACGGTTGATACTGGAAGCTGAAATGCACCCTCCTTGAAAGTTGGATTCAGTTTTCCATCATACTCAAACTTGCTGAACATGAGCTGAAATAATTTTTTAAAAATCTTTAAACAGTACACAGTATTTAGCCAAGTAAGACACAAGTAGTGCTTCGTGAAGAAAGCATGCCTGAAGTGAGATAATATTGCTCGGATCAAATGGAGGTGCATCTGGTACAGTCCGAGCTCGAAAGATAGGCTTCAAAGAAGAAAATGGAAGGCGTATCTGCACACACACAAAAAAGTTAATTTCCACGTGATTTGGTGCCATTTACTAGGACCATATAACAATGAGGGGACTATTATATATCACTTACAGATTGCCATTGACCTTCTACTGTGTCAAAGCCAGTAGTATAACCAATGGTGTCCCAGTCACTGCTAGTACGAACAATGAGCTTGTATCGACGACCATCACCCTTGAGGCGCAATTCAAAACCGTCATATGCAGATAGATCCTCAGGTATTGGAAAATTCTGCCAAGAACTCAATATGTTACATTCTGTCACTTGATTCTCCACTGAACAAGTTACAAGTTTTCATTAACTATATGCCAATCATTGTGATAATTCAATTTGAATCATGCCAGAGAATATAAATAACTATGGGATTCATTGTCTATTAGCATTGCACCGACCGGCTTGTGATGCGTAAATCTATATCTCTGTCATAAAGGTCCAGATCAACGCTTCCTTGGTTGCAAAATAAACCAATAAAAGGATGGAATTGCCCCCACAAGAACTGCAAGGAGCAGGTTTATGGACTGCTGCTGATCCATTTCCTGCTGCTTTTTATGAATTGTTTTTTCATATCCTCAACTTCAAAATAAGAATCCTATAATGGCAGAAGCGTTACTCAGGAAAAGGTAGGACATGAGAATCAGAGAAAATTCAGATCTATTCCTTTAGAGCGCCTTAGATTTCACTGACTACCACTTGGCAGGCTTATTGCAGCCCGCGTGTGACTATTATTAGTATACATTTTGAACAGTGGCAAAGCCAGTAAGTATATCTGGTATCTCATCAAGACATGGATGGTGATTCATATCAAGAAATCAAAGGAAGCCATGGACAGCAATGAGAAACTAGGCCTGAAAAAGAAAAGAAAAAAATGTGGAAAAGAGCAAGTACTTGGAGTCGGACCACTAACAGATTTACCTTTGTTCTCACACTGGTGAAGCCACCATTGTTTGCAGTAGATACAACACCTGATCAAGCCAGAAATGTAACAGTAGTCATGTAAGAAACAGTAATCTACAAGGACAACCGCTGAATCAATTGCATTTTAGGAGAACCTGCCTTTAAAAACCCCAGTTGCCCCGCCATCTTCCCCACCGGTAGTGTCAATTTGAAAAGTACTCTGGCTTACTCCTCCCATAACTACATCGTCTAAAGAGCCCCAAGGGAGATCTTTGAACTCACTACCTGCGGAAAGGGATTCAAGGAATGTAGTCTGTATCAGAACCCAATCAAGTTCTACATGTGCCAAGTAAAGAGATCAAATTGCAGCGTGCATTAACATCATCAAATTGAAATATTTGGCACATAAGAGAAACACATTATATTTGGGACCGTCCCAAGGCATGCGTAAAAAACAACCGGTTTCTGACATGGTATAAGATATAGGGGCAGAAGGAAAAGAAGAAGAACAATTATCAATTAACTTTCCCTGCTAACTTAAAGCTATGACTTACATCCTACAAAAATGCATATATGGAGCGGTCAAGAAGGCAGCAGACCTTCGCATCCAAACAGTAGTTTCCCACCACGGAGCGCGACTGTACCCTTTACTGCGTTAATCAAATTCTGCATCCCAAGATACTCCACCATTTCCGGTGAATCACCTTTAATCTGCAGATATAAATTGATGATGTCAACATTTAGTTACTTGCATAGCATCTCTGATGGCTTCTGTTGAATTAATCGAAGGTCAATCAGTCCGAAGAAAAGACACGTCATGGTTGTGCACACCTCTGGCTCGAAGAACTTAATTCCCTGCAATTCAACAAATAACAATCAGAGAAAGAAGAGCCAACTAAGGAAAAAATCAACTGAAGTAAATAAGGTTGACAATGCATACTTGACTGTACTTGGCCCTGTCAGGAGTATCACCCTCCTTCGGACCGACAATTACAGAAGCAGCATTAATGACTTTACTGACCCCCTTAAAGTACTCAGGGTTCAAAGTGTTCTCCTTAGTGATGTCCCCAACAATCTGACAATCTCAGAGAAATAACATTACCTAATACGCCAAATCATCGACAAAAGACCCCCGAGTGGAATTCGCTTTTCGGTTAACAAGGTTGTGCAAGAAGAGACTAGTGTTGAGGGCTTACCAGGTCTACATCAGGGCCTAACAATCTCCTTGCCTTCTCTTCATTCCTGACCTGAAAAGCGCATGATTACACCAAAAAAAAATATATATATATATATATCGAATCTACATTTTGAAACCCAAGGGAGGAATTTCTATTTGGCTTGATTTAGAAAGTGAAGAATACCAAAGCTCGAACGGGGATTCCTTTCTTTTTCAAGATATCAACCACTCTTTTACCGACACCACCAGTAGCACCAACCACGAGGACCACCCCAGAGGTCTTCATTGTCTTATTTTCCTCTGAAGGCGATGGACTGGAAATCCTCTCGATCAAAGACTGAATGAACTATTCAAAACCACAAGATTGAAAACAATTATTCATACAATCACCAGGACAATTCTCCATCGATCAAAGCCCTATTAACACAGTTAACTCAATACTTGCTCACCTTAGCCGGGGACGGAGGGGAATTGAAGAAGTAGAATGTTTTCACGAATCTCCCCAAATCCCAACCCTGATTTTTAGCTTCCGCCAACACAACCCCTCTCCGAACAGTAGCCGCTGTCAAACGAGCCGAATTCCGCCTATGGAGCAGCCTGTGATCGATTTGAAGAAACGGTTTAGGAAGCGGAGGGATTTTGCACGAATCGCTCGGAAGAGCTGATCTAAAACCCTGCTGTTCCAAAATTCAGTATAAAAGGAAAACATCAGAGCTTCATATGGCAGAATACGACGAACAATATTCGCAAAGCAGGAAAAACTTACCGTACGGTTGGCGATAGGAGAAACGTGTATCGGCGAGCAACAGCAATCCATTTTCCGGCGCCGCCGCAGGTAACGAAGAAGGTGATGAGAGAAATATGCTTACACTAGAGAGAGAGCTTCGTTGATGAAACTGTGAAGTGGTTGATATTTGAACCGTCAGCGCGGCTTCGTGTTCACCATACACGTGTCATGCATCTTCCCTGCTCGGTCCGTACCGTTGAATGCGCGCCTAGAATATTTTCGCTTGCTTTCTTGTTGGGCTGATCTGGGCCGTCTTTTACTTGAAAATAGAAATGGGCTTATTTGAATTAAGACTCTTTGTACGGGCTCAAAGCCTCTGTGTTCTCAAATTTATGATAACTAGACTAAGCAAGGAAAGCCCATCAAATTGGTATCCACTTATATTAAACCGGTCCGGGGGAATTTTTTTTGGGTGAGAAACAAAGCGGTGAGAGATGCTCTAACCCCTTATATATTAATAGATCGGGATATTTGTACCTCAATAAGATCGTACAACAACCAATAACACAATCGCGAGCTTGGAGTGTCGAACAGGTGCACTCCAACAGGTAAAGAATGAGCACTTCTACTATGCTATATAGTATTAGTGCTTTAATGTACAACTTACAGTTGTACCATAACATTAAATGTATAAGTTTAGGTTGTACCATAAAGCAATTTGTACCATTATGTTATGGTACAACTTTACAACTTGAAGTTGTACAATCACATAAAAGTATAAGTTCAAGTTGTACCATAAAAGAATTTGTACAAAAAGTATAGGTACAATCTGAAGTTGTATCATAACGTAAATGTACAATTTTAAATTGTATCATAAATGCAAAATCCCATAGCACCAATACTATATAACATTGTAAAATTTCTCATAAAGAATTGCCAACAAATGCCAAATAATCAACAACATAATTACTCTCCCTAAACACATGATCAATACTAACCTCCCAATCCATAGCCAGAAGCCTACGGATAGCAGAGGTCATCGTATAGTGCGGGTGGTTCTTATGTTCGATTGCTAAAGAGAGATTGTTGTTGCCGAATTAGTTTGTAGTGTGACTCTTCGAGCTCTTGCTTCCCACGCGATTTGCAGTCCCCGGGGCAATCCCTGCTAACTCAGCATGAGTGATCAATCCTCCTCTCAGGTTGATGGAGAAGGCTTTGATGAATCACCCGTCACTTCCTCTTATCACTCCGCTTGCCGTCGAGCGCCCTAAAGCTGTAGCCACCGAACCGTCGGTATTCACCGCAACCCATCCGGAAGGGGGACACTGCCAACTGATCATCCGAGTAACTTGTTGCCTGCTCCCTTCAACAATTCTCTGAGCCTTACAAAAAGCCAGTCCAGACTGAACTCGCAAGTGTTGTGATCCTCTTGCAAACCCCTCCTATGATGAAATCGCTTTCTCAAATACCCAAACATTCCTATTCTTCCACAGCTTCCAACAAAGAATGACAAAAAGTGGGGGCATCCATTAGCTTACTCCGACCACTCAAGCATGGAAAAGGAAACCGGATCGTACCGGCCGGTTCAACCGGAAAAACCGGGAACCGGCTCAGTGGCGAAACGGTACCCATCCAGCATCTGTTTTACCGCGCCGGCCGATTTTTATGGCATAATCGGCACTATCCGATTTACCGCCCGGTATAATTCAGACCGGCGATAGACTAATTCAAAGTAACGCCGCCGCCGTTCCATTGACAAAATTGAGGAGGAAAAAACGAGTGTCACTAAGTTACTAACCCTAATCGAATCTTCCCCATCGTTTCACTTCACCTGCCACTCCTCCTCTTCTCCACAACGTCGCCTGCTCGAGAAGAAGAGAACGCCGCCGCCGATCGATCGTTCTCCAGCCCAGCCTTGCCTCTGACGACCGGCGAGAAGGAAAGAAGACGAGCCTGCCGCCGCTCTGAGTCACCCTCTTCTTCAGTACTTTGTCGTCTCTGTACGTCGGCGGCCGTGGGGGAAGTACGCGGCGGAGATAAGCGATTGTACCCGGCGCGGCGTGAGGGTGTGGCTGGGGACATTCGACACCCCGGAGGCGGCGACGTTGGCGTACGACCAGGCGGCGCTGTCCCTCCAAGGCTCCAAGGACGCCCTCAACTTCCACGTCGATGACGTCAACAGGTCCCTCCGGGAGATAGGTTGCAGCGTATTCGAGGAGCACTGGTCCCCTGCCGAGGCGCTCAGCCGGCAGAGCAAGGCGGCGACAGTTGAAAAGGGTCGCCAGACTCATAAGGAGGAGGAGAAAGAAGAAGTGGTGGAGTTCGAAGATCTTGGAGCTGCTTTCTTGCAGCAATTGTTGTGCGAGAGATCTTGCAGTGGGGCAACTGGTTAACTAATTAAGACAGCCGATCAATCAAGCAAACTAATTAAGGCCATGAAATTGATAAGCTAAGCATCACTATTAGTGATATTGTTTTGTGTGATTCTGTTATTTAAGTGAAGATGATGGCGGTGACGTCATGGGCAGTGGCAGCGAGGAGGATGAAGAGGAAGAGTGGACTCAGACTATGGGGGAGCCCTTAACCTGGTATCCTAAAAGTGAACCAGGCAGGAAGAAGATGGCGCTCTACTATGAGCAGGTTTTTGCTAGCGAGGTATGCATGTAGCCTCAACTTTTGGCTTCTCCTCCTTCTCCCCCCTCATCCAGATGTTGTTCCTTCCGTTAGCGTAGTAGCTTTGTTGGTTGCAGCTGAATCATTCTGAATTATGTAACTTAGGGATTTGACTATCTCCAACCGCCTCCGGTGGATGTCCTTGAATACGGGGTTTGGCATGTCGACATGGAGAAAGCTCTGTGCCGCAAGATTCTCTGTGAGTGTGTGGATCACGTTGTCAAAGAAACGAACAAATCACCGGACAGGGTTCGAATCTCTTTTGCTCTGTGTTTATGTATTGCTGTACTTTTCCCAACCAATTGACTTGGGGCGACCCTATGCATCTGTGTTTGTCTTGTCTAGGAGTGGAAGCTGGTCGCTGGTGATATTGTGAAGGCCAATTGGCGAGCTGTCCAGGGTGGTATTTACTTCATCACATTCATGGCCAAGAACAGTGCTGATCCTAAAGATGCTGCTGAGAAAGAATATGAAGCTCAAGTTTATCGGAACTTTACTGGTGTGTGTGAGACGGAGCTGTTTCGTGTGAAGGGCCAGAAGGAAGCGATTCAAGAAAGTCCAGACCGGTGGAGGATGATCATGTGTAATGGTAACTATTAAATTCATAAAATGAATGATAAATTAATTTTTATATGAATTAAATTCATTAAAATTATGTTAATTTGCTTAGAATACGTAAGTCGATCATACCGGTGGTGTCATGCCGGTTTCATGACCGGCACAAGTTGAACCAGGTTCAACCGGGTGGCATGCCACCGGCATCGGCATGACAACCATGTTTATAACTCTCTTTCGTTGGAACTTGGAATCTGCAAGTTGGTGAGTGAGTATAAGAAAAATATTGAATTGGAACCCTAAAAACAAAAGAGACATGTGGTTATGCAATACATATATAATGCAAATACAAACAAAATACTAAGAAGCAAAAAAGTCATTACCTAATACCATATATCGCTGACGTTATTCCCTGATTCTGTTAGTTATGAGTTTCTGACGATTCATATATAGCCAGCCCTCCTTTTCCACGTTACTGTGATCCTGTTGAAATCACTCCCGGCCGGCTCGTTTGGATCTCTTTAATTTTTCTATACACTGATCAGCGGCAGGCCTTTATGCGTATTTTTTGTTTGAAGTGCCCGACAATGAGGTGGCCGGACATTAGACATGGAAGTTCAATATTGACTGCACCAACCTACGTACGCACGTCACTTGGTTACTCGCCTCCTCCGCCTAGTCGAACAGCTCCAGGCGCATCATTGGGATAACGCAAAAGTGGCGGTTGCCAAGGATTAAAACCAGAATCTTCTAAACATAATCCTGCGCCTTTACCACTTCTACTATCTTTTGGGGTTCGCCCCCGGGTCACGGTCCAGCTCTTTCCGGATCCGGAGCTAGGTATTTGTTTCAATGTTCGATTGATTACGGTCCAGTCCTCTCCACCCCTTTTCAAATTTTACCCAATAAGCTACTCTATCCTGGATCCGCCGCTGGGCAGTGTCCATATGCACATCTTCCCCTGAGATCATACATCAATCCCAGATCTCTTTTCACCACAAATATTGAAGTTAACATCATCTCCAAACATAAATCAATCAACCTCCTGGTTAGCTATCGAAATACATCAAACACGGGTGGCATGTGGGGAAGCAATTTTGTGTAGTGGCCCGTCCGCCCACTATATGTCGAGGGACAGACACCTGAGCAGTCGACACTTGCAAGCGACAATTCAAGCATGTCTCCAAAACAATACGATTCTAATATATAACCCCTATTCGGTCAATGTGTAGCACCAGCAGAGAGCTTCTTCTTTTCTCTTTTTTATCTTTCGTTGAATGGTTTGTTTCTCTTTTTATCACCATTCACCACCGCCAATCAGCTAGACACCAATTTGTGCCGACACTTTCCACGTTACTTCGGTTTCGTTTCGTCAAACATTAGTTACATTTGCCATCTTTCGGCTTCGAGGAGATAACTTTTTTTTTTTGGTTGGTTCCCATAGGATCTTATGTATATAGCTAACCCTAGCTATAGCCACATGCCCACTTGTTCATGTTGAAAATATAGTGTCTTCGATTATTTACGGGGTAAAAAGTCAACAATAATGTCGATCCATGTATGGTGAGTGCCTGTCGTTTATCTCTTGCAAACGTACATTGTCGGATCAAGCATTTGATTAATGCTTTTATGCATGCATATATACGAACGCAGTTGTGATATGTCATTGTATGACCAAAAAATTGTCTTTGATCTTCATTGTCCTGTAAAGTGGCAGTAGATGGATTTGGTGATAACCCACGTTCTCCATAAGGAGTACAATTCAAAAATCATGAATTCCCATATGCTTTAACACCTTAAAGTTGGGGAAAACTACCATCGATCCACTTATAGTAGTTTATGTGTATAAAACTCGATATCTTCTGAGCATCATATCAAGTGTTATTGAGTACACCATGAAATTTTTCTGATAAATTTTAACATTATATGCCATACTTTACTCGATTATTCATCCAAATCGTAAATAAAACAAATGGTTTCTCTTTGATTCTTCTTTCTGTAAGGTTGTAACCTCTTGTGCTCTTCACAAACAGGTGATAAATTCATTAGCGATTTTCTAATGAGACATATTAAAAGCGTTTTGTTGAACATTCTTGATGATGAGTGTATTTTATAAATTTTTCAAAATATAAAAACGTGTTGGGGTGTTTTGGAGTAAAATATAGCTTGCATTAGTTGGATATTTTACTGTTTCAATATAATTAGATATTTATTTATTTTAATTTATTTTTATGGGAATTATTTAATTAATTTTTTAGTAGCTAGTTGATGAATGGTAGTAGCTTATAGCTAACCTGCATCTGCATGTAGTCCCGAAAAGTCCCCCTCAGAATTATTCATTTGACTTTGTTTCTGCACAATCACCAAACTATACCCGTATTAAACAAAACCGTTTGAGAAGGATTACAAACCTTTTTTATAAGATTGATTATAAACCATTTTTCCGTTAATGGGAAACATTATTGCGTTGGTGGAATCGGCGCATTAATCATATAATAATTTTACAATTCTGGGGTGGGGAGGAAGTTGGAGAGTCGGCGGCAGAACTAATTAATCAAGGGTTTGCACACTATTTAAATTAATGGAGGTTTTAACAAATCAAGCAAGATACATGCTAATCCGCGTTTGATATATAGTTATATCAAATCTTCGAATTCATCAACTGGCACTGCATAAATTCATTTAAATATGTGTTGACAAAATAAGGTCAACATGTACGTACATTGACTTTGTTTAACTTGCATTTTGACAAAGATGACGGACCGAACTAACCCTGCTTTCCCTTGCCCTTCACACACACAAATTAGTATATACAAATACAATTAAAAAAATTAATATGTACAAGTGATGCTGATCACTTTCCAACCCTTGCATCGACTATGCAAAGGAGGAACTAGATGAAAGAATTTTGAAATCACGTATAAAATTTTGTTGTATCCCAATAATATATGATATTTGTGTGTATCCAGTGCAAGTTTATTATACTTCTCACTCAATGCAATGTCGCTATGGTACACACAACATTTTGTGTGCACCAACTCACACGGCAGGGAGAAGGCCACGTCGCCAAGCTAGTAATGGTCGGCCATGATTGAGCAAGCTGGGAGTAAGAGAGGAAAGGGGAAAAGTGAAGCCGCGCATGCCGAGCCAAAAACTGAAGGGAGGGAAAGGTGGTGGGGTCGGGGAGTTTGGGTTTTGAAATTGAAAAAAAAAACTGCCTCCTGTCTCCTCAACCGTCTCCTCCTCCCACTCTTCTTCCTTCTCTCTGCTACTTCTTTCCCTATTCTTCTTCTTTCTCTGTTTTGCTCTCGTCGAACCAAAGCAACACAGACCACCTCTCCCAAAAACAAAGAAAAGCGAGGAACAGCGGAACAAGAAAAGCGTCGAAGAAATCGTCTTCTCTTGTCGGCGACGAGCAGCCCAGTCGATAACCAGGAGAGCTTCGATGAGGAAGAATCGTCCTTCCTCGAGTTCTTTGTATTTCGGCTGACCTTTCTCGCCTATTAATACCGGTGAGGACAATTCTCTCTGTCCTTTTCTTTCTAGCTGTGGGGTTTTGCCTTGAATCCCCCTTTTTGCTTCATTCTTGAGTGTTTAGGGTTCACTGAATACGCATTTAGGGTTTTTTCGGTACACCTTCAAAATCGACTCGATTCTCATGGGTATTCTTCAGAATGTGTCTTGTGTGGGCGAGATATGTGAATTTTGTGTTGACCAAGTTTTTGGGTTGTTGCTTAGAATCAGTTCTTGCTTAGAATCAGAAAATATGGTTGAATCCAAAAGTAGTTGTTACCGTAACCTTCAATCTCTTGAATACTAGTGATTTGTGGTTTGAAAATTAGTTATATAATGTTGACTGTGTTGTTGACGAATACTAGTTCTTCTAATTTGAGTATTATTGTATAATGTTGACTGTGTTGTTGACGAATACTAGTTCTTCTGATTTTGAATATTAGTTGTATAATGTTGCCTGTGTTGTTGGCGAATATTAGTACTCCTGGTTTTGAATATTAGTTGTATAATGTTGACTGTGTTTGTGGCGAATACTAGTTCTTCTGATTTTGAATATTAGTTGTATTGATTGAAATTGTTTGTCTGCAGCTAGATTAATACTGTATGTTGAAAGTTCTGAATATTAGTTCTCTTCATTGTGTTGTGTTTCCCCCTTTTCTGAATACATGTGTTTTTGGTCTACAGGTTTGGAATAATGGTGCGACCGTTAGTGGATCCTCCTCCTGTTGCTGAAGATGTTCCTCCTGCTATTAAACAACAACGACCCTTAATAGATCCCCCTTCTGCTGGGAAGTCTGTTGGGGAGTCTTCTGGGAATGCTGCTGCGGGGAAAGCTGCTGAAGATGTTCCTCCTCCTACTGTTAAAATGTTCCTCTTGGTCCAGAAGATCATGTTGCTGCAAAAAGAGTTAATTTTGCTGCTGGCACGTCTGGTGAGACCTCTACAGGGAAGTCTGGTGAGACTTCTGTTGGGAAGTCTAGGGGGAAGTCTATGGGAAGAAGTCTGAGGGAAAGTCTTCTACGAAAGCTGGGGGGGGGGGGGGAGTCTGCTGGCAAAGGTGCTATGGGGAAGTCTGCTGGGAAAGGCAAGGCCAAGAACCACATGAAACGCAGCATCGATGTCACACATCTTCATTGTTGAGTGTGATTGAATTTTGGAAGAAGGATGAGGCCTACTATGAGGAATGCGAGAAGGAGCTTAAGAAGGCGGGGTTTGATGGATTGCTGGAGATATGCTTGCGCGGTGTCGATAAGTTTCTACTGTGTGCAATGGCACGACACTACGATAAAGGGCAAAGCAGCACACAGGCTCCATCTGATCCTGATGCTCCTGAATTTTACAACTCTTCTTGGTGGGAAAAGGACGACTTGGAGCGCATGGATGAAGATCAAGTACGTTTAACTTTTTTTTTCCGAACATACTAGAGTAAGGTAGATTGCATGAACTAAAAAAATTTACACATACTTGTAGCTTAAGGTGTTGAATTGCATGACTGAGTCCATGTTCAATAAGTGGAAGGCACGACTTGCAAGATTGGAAAACGTCGAGCCCCAATGTGGAGAGGAATGAGTGGCTTTCATGAAATTGGATGTAATAGATGTTGAGATTTGGGTAGTTTGAATAATTTGAATACTATTTTCCTGTACATTGAATACTATTTCCATGTACTTTGTTAGGATGATGGACGAATGTTTAGCGTTCTTGTTTGAATACTATTTTGATGCTTTTTTAGTACTATTTGTATGAGATTGAATAATGTGTGTTATCAATGACCTAAATACATATTTTCTATCTTTTTCTAGCTAAGGGTTTGTCGTAGTGTGTGTCTGAATGAGGGGAAAAGAAGGATGGAGTTGACCACACAAATTGGCCACATACTTGAGAAAAAGGCTGAGAAGAACAAGCCATCTGAGCAGGATATTGAGGAGCCGACGACGGTGGAGGTTCCTTCGCCCTTTGTTGAGCCGACTCCGGTGTGCGGCGAGACGCCCACTCCGACGTCTGTTGAGAAGGCCACTCCGGCGTCTGTGGAGACGCCCACTCCGATGTCCCTGGAGAAGCCTACTCCGGGGTCCGTGGAGAAGGCCACTATGGTGCCCGTGGCGGCTCCAGTTACTTACCAGTGAAGAAAACCTGTTCCAAGTACTGCTTCTTCAGCACCAACGGTGGAGGTGGTTATTGAAGGCGACGAGGGGGAGCTTACGACCATACAATGGAAGAGAACGAACATGAAAACTCCGTGCTTCGAGAGATCAAAGAGAAAGCCAGAAGTATTATCCGGCTATGTCCTCTCCAACACTGTTACTTGCAAGTTGGACCCTTTGCAAAAGGCGATAGTTGAGTTCTCACATAGTACGAGTGATGAGAACGAGTAAGTATTCAAGTGTTATCTAAACAATATTCATTTTATTATTTACACGTGCGTTTTCATAAAAGTGTGTTAAATACTTTGTCCTTTTTACAGTTCTACGGAATTTGTGGAGACTACGAAGTGCAAGGTGTGCCGGTTTCATTTGCTGAGTTTGAAACGTACTGTATGGCTGAATCGTGTCATTGTTGGGGCATTTGGATTCTACCTCAACGACCTGAATGTCACGAAGAATGGGAAGCTGACAAAATGCATCTTCCCTATGGTTTTTGCTGTAAGTAAAATTAGACTTTCAATGCATGTCATGAATAACCATGCTCTTCAATTTCTTCACAAGTTCTTGTTTTCAATGCAATCACAGGACAAGGCAACTGCAAATTTTAAGAGTGGGGAAACAATAACTGCAAGTCTCCTGGATGAGGCATTTGCCACACTTGATCGAGATCCAGTATTTGAAACTGCAGACTTTAAAGAATAGAACTAGCAAGTATTCATGCAAGCACAGAACACCGTGCAAGAAACCCTAAAACATAATAAATGCAAGCACCATAAATGTAAACCCTAACACACCTAACACATTCAATGCTGATCAACAACCAAAACATATATAAGTCTAAATGGATCTGATCTATTTTTTTTTTTTTGTCTTCACATACCCCCTTCTATTTCATCAACTGCGGCCATCCACTCTTGAGAGCCCCACAAACCATCAGATGAACCATCCGTTTTGAGGATGGTATCAACAAGGTCCTCATCTTGTGGTCTGTCTCCTTCGACATAACCTTTATTTTTTTCAGTCGACAGATCTTCAAGCTGGACCTCCTCTTTTGGTGCCACATCTCCTTCGACATCATCCCCCATCTTCTGCTTCGACACACTATCTTCCCTTTCTTGCATCTCCTTCTTCTCTTCGAAAGATCAATCTTGCACCAGACCAGACCGCCCCTTCTTGCGTTTTTCTCTCGATGCTCGTCTTCAATGGCGGCAAGGCGGACGAAGAGAAGAGATGAGGAAGAAGAAGAAGAGAGTTGTGAGATTGATAGAGAGAGGTTGGTAGGTGGGTGGAATTAATGAAAGGATTTTTTGGGGCTGGCTTTTTCGCCAACAATCCCGCCAAAACACCCAAAAATTGGCCCAGACCCCACCCATCTCTCACTCGTTGGCCCCACCACCACCTTCAGCTCGGCTTCCCCACAGCTGAAGAATGGCGCGTCCCCTTCCCCCAGCCCGTGTCCCAGCCGCTCAATCCTGGCCGTCCTTTTCTGGCTTGGGCGACGTGGCCCTCTCCCTGGGCTGTGAGTTGGTGCACACAGATATCTGTGTGTGTACCATAGCGAAATTGCACTCAAAGTGCCTGGTTTGAATCTACCAGAAAACAATCTTTTTGTCCTTTAACCTTATTAATTTGTTTTTATGAAAGAGAAAATTTAGACATCTAGTTTTCATAATTTTGTTTATAAGGCTTGTACTTTCAAAGTTGGTCAATTAAGTTCTTTAACTTTTAAATTAGTATTTCTAAGAATTCTTTTGGTTATATAATTAATTATTTTTCAAACAATGACATTATTGAACATTCATTTTCTAGTTTTAGAAATACCGAGAAACATCTTGCACGATATACCGAGAAATATCGAGAAACATCTTGCACATTATTGATCATGTCATGAGTTGGTTTGTGATTGAGTGAAAATGATGAGTTTCGTTGTGAAGCTATATAAATCCAAATGCAGAAATATTCCTAAGCCGGCAACTAAATAAAAACAAATCGCAAAACAAGACCAGAGGTTAGTGGTACTATACATAATTCGTATCTCCTTTACCTTTTTCAAGAGAGAACATACGTGATCTGTGTGATCCGTACCTCACAACCTGCGGTCGAACGGTAATTAATTATAATCGTAATATAATCTACGATTACAATTCGCCGTACATGTTTAATTAGATTCAGATTGGGCCGCCGGCCGGATTGATTATGGAGGAATAAAGTCAACCGGCAGTGACGCCGAACCGATATATGCAAAAAGCCGGCCGCGTAATGTCGAAGAGTCTGACTTAAGAAATAAAATGACTGCGCCATTTGGCGACTCCAATCCCGTTACCGCCGGCAGCGCATTGCTCATTGACCGCCGGCTTGCCTTACACTGTATTATTTGGTTAGAGAACGAAAATGCGATAAGAGGATTTGGTGCATTGTGGAAAACAATTAAAAAATTAAGATGATGATGTGGGGAAAGATATGGAAATCCATTAGTGTAATTATTTCGACTGACCAAAAAACAAATTAGGTTGATAATTCTAAGTGTAACATCACTATCAGCAGTTTTGTTTGCTAGAGTGGTCACATGTATTTTCCTAATGTATATGATAATTATGGAATCAAAGTGGTTACGTGATACCAATTTATTTTCTGAAAGGAAACCAGTCTAATCTCATCAAAAAAATTCCCATAAATCGTAGATTACTTAACATTATTGTACTTAACGAATTTGTAAACAATATTATTAAACGGCAAAACCGGTATGGTAAGCATAGCTAAATCCAAATAGTACCTTTATTTAAACTCTTGCTGAAATTAATTAATTAATTAACAAGCCTTCTCCTTTCCTACTCCCCATATTCCAAACAATCCCCATAATGATTAGTGAGAATCTTTAACCTGCCCTAGCTTCAAGTTCAGCTACGGAAACGGAAACGGAAACGGGAAATCATCACGTTACGGTCATGTCCCTTTCGCACGTCGGCTTCAACAGCTAGCTAGCTCCGGCTCCACCGCTAAGTCGTCGCCATGGTTGTTGCCGTCGCACCAGGTTTTCTGTTATGGCCGTCGGGATCATAGAAAAGAAGAAGAAAATCAACAAAAAATGAAAGACCATAATGGTCATATTTCACCATCGTAATAAATAAGGACTGCCGCCTCATTTCCCGTTACGCAATTTCCACACGCCCGCCCGTGTTGAATTCTGGATCCGTTGATTCCACTGAAGAAAACTTGCATGGGTGGTGACGAGTCTGTTAGGAAGGTTCGTATTTTACCCCCGACTTTGGAAATGTATGTTATTCTTTGGTAACATAACTTTTCGTGTATCTTTTTTTTTATATAGATTATAGATATCCTGAAGTATGAAAAGTGAGATTAAAAAAAAATGTTTTGAAGGCTTTAGTCACAAAATAAATAAATAAAAAAGAGAGAAATGGGCGTGAATTGGTATATTACTTGTCAAACCACTAATATGAAAATTTATTTTGCTACGAGATGAACATCTTTGTTATATTTGCATGACGTGGTGTGAAATGCTTTGTGCCGACGAGAAGATTCAACATTCTATAACCAATTATAGGAAAGAGTTAGTTATGACATTGCAAAATTGGCCGTGAGCAAAATTCATAGAGCTCTTCGCATGTGAACCGCAAATTGACTGTCCTATTAAATAAAACAAAATAAGTGATAGTTTTACTAATTTCAATTTTCAACTCATGATCTTGCAGTGATTAAAGAATATAGTGATAATACCAATATCCGGACGGGCGGAGTTGAAAGGTGCATCTGAAGGCCTTCAATTACCATGGGATTGGGCACGGACATACGAGTTACAGTTCAGCTTAGTTTTTTACTGTGCAATCCAATTTCTTCATATTCATATAGCACCGACAAGAGCAACATTGGCATGCAACAATTAGTCAAAGATTCAGAGAACTGCTTGATAGAGAACAAGAAGTTGTTGTTAGTAAACGGTATATGATCCACGATTGAACCTCTTCCAACAACTCAAGTTATTGGGATCAACTGGTTCTTGACATGGTATCAGAGCCTTCTGTGACCGTGAGATCTTCTGTTCGATTCTCGGTGACCCCCATCTATTTCTGTTGTTTCTGTAAAGCACACGGTGTCTGAACCTGTGCATGTCCAAACTCCAAGCCTATCTGAATGGCTTGAGTTTGAAGGGGGGTGTTAGTAAACGGTATATGATCCACGATTGAACATCTCCCAACAACTCGAGTTATTAAGATCAATTGGTTCTTGACAGTCGTAGTAATCCGTATTCATAGAGACGGTAAGACTTCCGGTATAGTTAGTCTGGAACTTTCTTTATCGTCTGGCTTTTTTTTCTTCTTTTATTTCCATCACTAGTCACTAGTCAATGTTATGTTGTGTCATTGGACATTCTCCAAACCTGTTAGAATTTCAGAAAACGAGGAAAGAAAACTGCGAGGAGCTGAGGGGAGGACGGTGGACGGCTCCCCAATAAGGCTGGGAAGTTTGACGGTGCTCCCTCGGCCGGCTATCTCAGTCCAGCAAACCCCAGCCATCGTTAATTAGCATCCACGCGGCTGTTTATGCGCTCCTTTTCAGCCTCCATCCTACCAACTCCCAAAAAAAAAAAAAAAAGATTAAACTAGAAAATGTCGTTGCCCATGACTCCAAAAGTCCAATCCCCCCGCCAAATTTTTAATTAGTCTTGGTATGTTCCTCCTGCCTTCAGTCTCCAATCTCCATCCCCATCAAACCGTCTCAACAAAATTTGACTCCGCCACTCTCTCTTGCCTAACTTCCTCCCCCAACCCACCACTCCTATATAATCCCCCTCTTTCCCCTACCAAACCCTTAAACCTCCCCTGCTTAATCACCCACCAAAGCAAAGAACCAAAAACCCAGGTCCTCTGCTCTTCCCCTGTTTTCCAACACACAATTTCTCCTTTAGAAATGGCTCGTGTTGCCGGTGTTGCGTTCATCCTGTTGGTCGTTGTTGTTTCTGCTACGTTTGTCCCCAACACGGATGCAAGAAAGCTACTGGAGAATAACCGCGGCGGTGGTGGCGACGGAGCAATTAGCGTGTCGTCTCTGTTCCAGAGCTTGCTTCTAAGTGCCCTTCCCAAGGGCACAGTCCCAGCTTCTTCTCCGAGCAAGAAGGGTCACTCCACGCTGGATAATGTGGAGCGTTTTCAGAGGCACCTCGCCCAAATTGATCGGATCCTACGCTCTGTCCCCAGCCCCGGCGTCGGACATTAATTGCCTTCCTTCCCTCCATCTCTCTGTTTTTTTTTTTTATAGTTTTGTTCTTATACCATAGGAAAACAGAGTACTTGATCATTGACAATTTTTGTTAATTCATAGGCAGAAAACTGTATAGACACACTCAAATTCCCTCTTCCTTCTTGGGTTTTTTTTTTCTTTCATTCTTTTATGTTCAATTCCTACATGTATTGCGTCATTAATTGCAGTAGCTGTACCAATTCTGGGGATTTTATCTGTTATCATCAACCCCCCTATATAGTAATGAGAAATATCATTATACATCACAAAATCCTCATCATTCAAGTTCGGAGAGACAGAGACCTTATTTTCCTGGGAAGAAAGAAAGAGACTTGGAGGTCTAAAATCTATCAAGAGTTGGGGAATGCCACTTGGCCAGCTCCACTGGAAAAAGCAACCAAACAAAAAAGCAGCGATGATGTGAAAAGCGCGTTGCGTATTCCCATCCAACTGGAGGCGGGTCGTGTGAAATCCCCAGAGGCCGGCAGGATGTGAGCTCTGCTTTTTTCTTTTTTTCTCGAATTACTTTAATTCATGATCACAGATGAACGAAAGGCATAGTTTAGTTACACATCTCCATATAATATTGCTTTCTTTCTTTAATTACTTTATTAGGTTCTAGTTACCGATTCAAAAAGGTAGTTAAGTTTCAGTTTGATATGCGTCTCGATTATTCATGGGGACCTTCCTAAAAAGCCATGGTTTCGGCCACCAGTTCATACTTTCCTGTTTCAGATGGGTGTCTGCCAACTTGATGTTCTTCGACAGAGTGGAGCTATCAGGGCTGTGCAATTAATTGAGTAGGGCTTGTTAAATATCTTTATCACGCAGCCCAACTTGTTCGACATTCTTAGACTCTGCCATATAAGTCATCAAATGATGCAAGTCATGGCTAGAGATTCAGGGCACTTAATTAATTAGTTGGGTCTACTTAAAATTCACCATTATCAACAACAACAACAAATTGGGTCTACTTAAACAGTGTAACTAAAAGGCCAAGTTGGAGGTGATTAAATGGATGAATTACCCTGTTCCTTGTTCTACATGAAAAGGTTAATCATGCTCCCTACCCTCAACTCACATCCAAGGGCTCCATATCTAACCAAGATTACGACAACACTTCCCTTCCTGACTAACCTTGAGTTGAGAAGTTAGAAGTTGTTGGTAAAGATTTGACAACTGAAGTTGATATTTTTTTTTATGACTAATTCCACTAGAAAGTCCAAACTATTCTTAGAGTATCATTTGTGTTATAAACTATTCAATTTGATAAATTTGACACAAACTATATGTGTTTCGTGACATTTGTGTCCTAAACTATTCAAACCGATAAATCTGACACAAACTGTTCAAAAGGGTTAATTCAACGAGAAAGTTCAAACTATTCAAAAAGTGTCATTTGTGTCATAAACTATTCAATATGACAAATCTGGCACAAACCATATAGATGCTGACTAGATTTTCTATTAAATACCAACAGTTTACGCCGGTCAACATTAACGGAAAAATAGTTCGTGCCAAATTTATCATATTGAACATTTTAGGATACAAACGACACTTTTTGAATAGTTTGGACTTCCTCGTAGAATTACCCTTTTTATATAATGGCGAAATAGATGAGATGGTAATCATGTACATTTGAACAAATCTGACCATGTACTATGATTTCTAATAAAAACGTCCAGGTATTATGTTATCCATGCATTCTTAGTAAGTATGTTGTAGATTACTCATGATTAGAGGTGGTAATTCTCAATCCAATCTACCAACCCATTAAAAATATACACCTAATCCAATCCATTTAAGTCTAATCCATTTGATTCAAATCCAATTGGATTGGTGGATTCATGGATTGATCCATGGATCCAAATGGCAAATTACGGTTTGGTACCTATACTTTTATATTTTACATTTTGGTACCCAAAATTTAATTTGCCACCAATCCATGGATCCATGGATCAATCCATTTGCCACCTCTACTCACAATACTCGTTTATGCCTATGTTTAGCTCGGATTTTAGAAGTGCTTTTCGGCTTCAAAACCTGAATCAGGGCCAAACATCTCTAAAAGCTCGACTTTTGAAAAGTCGAAAAGTGCTTTTGTATAACATAAAAGCAGAAGCTCCGCTTTGAAGTTTCAGCAAAAAGCTGTTTTGAAAATAGAAGATTATCATTACCGTATTTTAATTTTATTTCAGAAAATATAATGATATTTCATTTATATTATTTTAAAATAAAATAAATTATAAGATCATATTATCTAATATAAAATATCTATTATATTATATTTGTGTGACGTGGAATTACCCTTTGAACAAATCTGACCATGTACTATGATTTCTAATAAAAACGTCCAGGTTTTATGTTATCTATGCATTATTAGTAAGTATGTTGTAGATAACTCACAACACAATACTTGTTTATGCCTATGTTTGGCTCGGATTTTTTAAGTGCTTTTCGGCTTCAAAATCTGAAGCAGAGCCAAACATCTCTAAAAGCTCGGCTTTTGAAAAAGCGAAAAGTACTTTTGTATAACATAAAAGCAGAAGCTCCGATTTGGAGTTTCTGCAAAAAAACTAGAGCTCCGATTTGAAGTTGTTTTGAAAATAGAAGATTATCATTATCATATTTTAATTTTATTTCAGTAAATATAATTATATTTCATTTATCTCATTTTAAAATAAAATAAATTATACGATCTTATTATCTAATATAAAAAAAATCTAACAAGATTCATTTTTATTATCTAATTATATGTTCATTTTTACTACTTTTTATTATCTAGAATTTTTATTCATATTCTATATTATAAGTCTTTTATAGTCATTTTACACAATCTCATTTGTTAAAATATCATAAACCTATTTGTGATAACCTCATAATACATGAAGATAAAATGTCGCCGAACACGGCCTCAACGGAATTATGAAATCTGTATATAAGTAAGCCTCCATGTTTTTTTGCAGCATGCATATACAGACATTAGTCTCAATCGTGATGAGGTTGCTGATTATAGATATGGTTTAATTTGAAGGGACACATGGTGATGGACAATGCAATAATCAAGTAGAAATTACGATAGCATGGTCGTCCTATGGCTAGCTAACCTGGCTCTAGCTCTATCACTTCATGCATGAATGTGGGTTTTCATTCATCTTAATTAAATTGTTGCGGTTCCATGCATAATAGTGAAGTAGAAGATCAAAGGAGCTTGAAAGATATGAATAAGAAAATGGGGTATGGGAGACCATAAAAATATGTCTGTGTTTGTGTTGGACGGACGGATGCATTGTCGGGAGCGGAGCACAGCGGGGCTCCACAAACCGCCCTCCGGTTGCTCAAACTTCAAACAACACACAAAGGATAAGTATGTAGGGACGTTTTGGTTTGTTGGTGGCTGGCTAACTCATCACTCGCTGATCCTCAATCCGTCAGTGACGAAACCCACGGTGCCATGTCTCTCTCTCTCTCTCTCTCTCTCTCTCTCAGCATCGCCTTACTTTAGGGTTTAGCAGAAGTGAAGAAGAGAAAATGAATATGCAATGATTCAGCAGCTAGCCAGCTCTCCACATTTGTAAGGATATTCAAATCCATTGATTATGTTATCTATTGTTATTACTCAATATTGACCCAGCGGTTACGCTGCTAGCAAGCAGCCTGTAAAGCGGAAGGTCGGCGGAGGGATGAATGTGAAAAGAGAGGGGGAAAACACAACAGTCAAAAAAGGGTCATATGTGTGTCATGTGAGCAGCTGTATATGTCGTCCTATGAAGAGTGGGAATCTAAACTACTTTCCCGGAAAGAGCATATAGCGTAGACCAGAAATTGCAGAGTCGAGGAATTTATGCGCAGAGTGAAATCTCAGACAAAATGGGTTTTTGCCTCTTTGGTTTGGCTATTCAGGCATTACGTATTTTTGACTGACTGTCACTTCAGCAAATCCCTCCCCAAACGTTTGGCTGGGGTAGGGTGTTCCTTGCCCTACAAGTCAGCTACTTTGTTTTATATATTTCACTTTTATGATGGGTTATAGGTATAATATTCCCCTCTACTATGTAGTTTTATCAAACATGCCCCTAGACTATTTTTTATATAAAACATGCCCTTGTACTTTGGAAAAATGATCAAACATGCCCTTCTGTTAAAATTTTCATTAAAAAAATCGCCAACCATGGTTGAACCGAGATGTAGATGACCCGACATCGGCAAATGAGAGCGAAAATGTCAGTTTTGTTCCCCATTTTATTTTTCTAGGTCTCGTTAAAGTGAAATTATTAGAGGTATTTAGCTCTACAAAAGAACCCAAAAAAATTTAAAGTGAAATTACCAAGGATATTTTAGACATTTGTGTCGCCCAAACCAAGGTACGACCATGATTGACTGTTTTTGGATGGAAATATTAACAGAAGGGCATGTTTGATAATTTTTCTAAAGTACAAGGGCATGTTTGATGTAAAAAATAATAGAGAGACATGTTTGATAAAACGACATAGTAGAGGGGCATATTATACCTATAACCCCTTTTATGATTTGTCAAAGTCGGTGATTCGTTTGGAAGCTGTGATTGTTAATTAATAGATATATTGTTGTGAATGCATGTATAATATTATACATGTATTGTTGAGGTTAATTGCATGGTTGGTCATTGAGATTACAAAAAACATTCTAGTTTGATCACTCGAAATATTTAAACCCATTGGTGGTACTTCACTTTACTGAAATCGTTCACGTTTGGTCACTCTCCGTCCAACTCCGTTAGGTTTGACTGATGTGGCAGTCAACTCTCAAAGTTAACCATTAACTTAGTGACGTTGCAACTAAAAAATTATTAAAAATAAAAATATAAACATTTATATTTTCCACCTCATCATTACTACGTTCACTAAAAAAAATGTAAAAAAACCTAATTTCTTTTCTAGATCTCAAAACCATCTTTTCTCAAGTTCTTCATTGTTCTTTTAATTTTTATATTTTAAGCAAACTGCTAGAGCTACTAATTTGAGGGCTCTGATTCTCTCATTAACTTTTCTTATTTGATTAAGAGTACATTAACAGGCCCGAAAGAATTAATTATGGGAAGTCGGAGAACATGGGGGGTTCAGATCGGGGATGGGGGCGGATGAGTCAGTGAAGAAATCGTCGACGCCAGAAGCGCAAGAACCCAGCCGCCGTACCACCCTCTCCAGGTCGAATCAACGTCGGCCTCAAGCTTTCCTCCTGACCGTTTTTCTCCTCCTCGCCGCTAGGCTCAGTCCACCGCACAAGCCTTCTCTAGATCGAATTGACGGCGGGCCTCAAACTCTCCTCTCGACCGCTTTTCTCCTCCCCCCGCTGCGCTCACTACACCGCACAAGACTTCTCCAGATTGAATCGACGACGACCTTTAGCTCTCCTCCCGGCCGCTCCTCCTCTCCGAGATCAATGGTTTCCCTGGTCATCACACTGGCTCTCTTCCTTGTGACCACTCCTCGTCTCTCTTCCCGCCTCTCTTCCTCGTGACCACTTCTCGTCTCTCTTCGTCCCCTGCAGAAACTAGAAGCGCAAGAACTCCCCTGAAGAATAATTGAGGAATGACGTTGTAATGACGGAGGATCGGTAGTTTATTCCAGCGAACAGAGAAGCAGGGAATTACAGAGGAAATGGAAGAGAAAATTGGTAAAGTAAAACTATACTAAACTCAATGTTTGACTTATTCTCCAAAAGATGATTACAATACATTCCTTTTGGGTATTTATACTCTCCGCCAACTATCTCCAGCTGTCATCCATGCTCCGGGTCATTACAAACTCTTCCCCCCTTCAGACACAGCTTGTCCTCAAGCTGGAAATGAAGGATAGCTGGTTCTGAAAGTGCGATAATCCTCCCAAGTAGCATCGGCCGGCGTTTGATGAGACCAATGAACCAAAATCTGAGTAACAGCCTGCTCCCCTTCATGTACAAAACGCCGAGCCAAAATTTCTTCTGGAACCAACTTCAGGGCACCATCATCATCCATTCCCGGCAACGCTGTCACTTCCTGAACAGAACGAGAACAGCAGCGTTTGAGCTGGGAGACATGGAACACCGGATGAATCTTCGCCTCCGCCGGCAGCTGCAACTTGTAAGCCACCTCACCCATTTTGGCCAACACCATATAAGGTCCAAAAAACCTCGGCCCCAACTTATTACCATGCCGACCAACTACAGAGCCCCGCCGATAAGGCTGCAACCTCAAATATACCTGATCGCCGACCAAGAAGGAACGCTCTGACCGGCGTTTGTCCGCGAATTGCTTCTGACGATTCTGGGCAATCGTCAAATTATGCCTTAACAAAGGAATAAGGTGTTGTTGGCGAGCCAACCGATCCTCCACAGCACCCACCGCCGACGTCGCCAAGGATGACAGTCCAAACAAGGAAGGGGGAAATCCGTACAGAGCCTCGAAAGGGGTGAGACGAAGGCTGACCTGGTAATGGGTGTTGTAACACAATTCGGCCAGAGTAACCCATGCAGCCCAGTCTTGAGGTCTATAGAATGTCATACAGCGGAGGTAATCCTCCAAAACACCGGTTAACCCGCTCCGTCTACCCGCCTGTTTGCGGATGATACGCCGTCGAATAATGAAGATCGATGGACTGCAGGCGAAAAAACTCTGTCCAGAAAGAGCTGGTGAATGTGGCATCCCGATCAGAGACAATCGACTTTGGCATACCGTGGAGCTTGAAGACGCCGTCAAAGAAAACCTGGGCCACCGACGCCGCCGAATAAGGATGAGACAGAGCAAAGAAGTGGGCATATTTGGTGAAACGGTCGACGACGATAAACAACACTTCTTTCCCCAGTGATTTCGGCAGCCCTTCCACAAAATCAATTGTAATGTCCTGCCAAGCTCTATTAGGAACAGGGAGAGGTTGGAGAAGGCCCGGCGACGCCACAGCTTCCGCCTTGCACCGAGCACACACATCACAAGCTCGTACCCAAGCCTGCACCGCCGCTTTCATCCCGACCCAGTAGAAATGTGACTTCAGCCGTTGATAAGTCCCCTGTACCCCTGCGTGACCCCCGACAGCCGAAGAATGGAACAGCTTCAACAATTTATCCCGCATAAACCCAGTAGACCCAATCACAATGGCTCCTCTGTACCTTAGAATGCCCTGAGCAAAGGTCCACAAAGAAGGCCCGGATGAAGCACAAGCAGTCTCTACAATTTTGTCTGTAATCCATGAATCGCCCTCATAAGTCTTCTCGACTTCCACCAACCACTCCGGCAGAACAGTAGACAGGGCCGAACACTCCCCCAACTCCTCATCACCATCAAACCGATGAGACAGGGCATCAGCCGCCGCATTAAACTTGCCCCTCCTGTACTTAATCTGAAAATCCAAACCCAGAAGCTTGACTAACCCTTTCTTCTGGATCTCGGTGTGAATCTTCTGCTGGAACAGATACTTCAAGCTCTCATGGTCGGTAAGGATGGTAAAAGGCCGCCCCTCCAAATAATGGCGCCACTGATCAACAGCCATTAAGACGGCCAGATATTCCTTCTCGTAGGTGCTGCGACCCTGATTCTTGACACCCAAAGCCTTACTGAAGTAGGCAATTGGCCTTCCCTGCTGCGAGAGCACAGCACCCACCCCTGACCCGCAAGCATCTGTTTCCAGCGAGAAGGAGAGGTTGAAATTCGGCAAAGCCAACACCGGAGCACTACTCATTGCCGCTTTCAAGGCGAGGAAAGCCTCAGAAGCCTCAGCTGACCATCTGAACGAGTTCTTCTTCAACAACTCTGTCAACGGCCGACTTATAATCCCATAATGGCGAATGAACTTTCGGTAATACCCTGTAAGGCCAAGGAATCCGCGCAAAGCTTTGACAGACTTAGGAGGAGGCCAATTCCGCATCGCTTCAATCTTACTGGGTTCGGTGGATACCCCGGACTCCCCAATCACATGTCCAAGATACTCAACCTGGGGTAGCTCGAACGAACACTTCGAAAGCTTCGCAAAAAGCTGGTGTTGACGAAGAAGAAGAAGTGTCTGCCGGAGATGTGCCACATGAAGTTCAGCCGTGGGACTATAAACCAATATGTCATCAAAGAAGACGAGTATGAATTTGCGAAGATGAGGAGCAAAAACGTGATTCATCATAGCTTGGAAAGTCGCCGGAGCATTAGTCAAGCCGAAAGGCATGACGAGAAATTCGTAATGCCCCTCATGGGTCCGAAAAGCAGTCTTGTGACGATCCTCCGGCTTCATCCGAATCTGGTGATAACCCGCCCGTAAATCCAGCTTCGAAAAAAACTTTGCTCCATGGAGCTCATCCAGCAAATCATCGATAATGGGGATGGGAAACTTATCCTTGATCGTAATCGAGTTGAGGAGCCGATAATCAACGCAAAAACGCCAGCTCCCCTCCTTTTTCCCAATCAACAAAACCGGCGCTGCGTAAGGACTCTGGCTAGGCTGAATAAATTGCGAAGCCAACATCTCACCCACCAACTTATCAACAACGACCTTCTAGTGATGGGGAATACGATAGGGACGAATGTTGATAGGTTTGGACATCGGGTCAATGGGAATGGCGTGGTCAAAGGAACGGGAAGGGGGAAGAGTAGTAGGAGTGGAGAAGACATCCTCGAATTGAGACAGGAGCGGCTGAATGAACAGAGGAGGGGAGGGAGGGGAAGGAGACGAAGTAGCAGAGGAGATCGAGAACAAGTGGCCTGTAAACTGGGCCACTTTCTTCTTCAGCAACCTATGGAACGACCGGCCCGATAACATCTTGCATTGGGCCTCGCCAACCAAGCCCTGCAGTGTAAGCTGCTTGCCCTGCCAAAGGAAGGACATCTGCCTCTGTTTTAAGTCCAACTGAATTGGGCTGACCGACTCCAACCAATCAAGGCCCAGCACCAAATCATGGGCCCGCAGATCCAACGTCCGAACGTCGAACTCGAACTCAGTACCCTGCATCCTCCAACGAAACCCTCGACACACTGAGTGACTCAGCAACGCGTCCCCGTTTGCCACTTTCACTTTCATCGGTGGCGCCGAGTCGAGCCGGCACCCCAACTCGGAAGCTCTAGACTCGCTCAAGAAAGTATGACTACTGCCCGTATCCACCAGAACCACCACCTCGCGGCGACCAACTCTCGCCGGAATCTGCAAAGCACGGCCAACGGCGCCCGATCCGAGAGCCTGCATCGAAACCTCCACTTCTTCCGCAGTCGTCGAAGGCTGAACCAAGTCAATTACTTCCTCATCACTGTCTACTGGAGAATTATCCGCCTGAAGCAGCTGGAGATGCTTCTTCTTCGCACACACATGGCCATAGAAATACTTATCGCCACACTTGTAACAGAGACCTTGATTGCGAGGAACTGCTGGCCGATCGGCGGAAACGGCGGAGGAAGAAGACGAATCGGCCGAGACGGTCTTGTTGCCCGTCGGAGCGACGGAGGGCGGCCACTTCGATGGCGGCCGATTCTTCCTTTTGCGAGCCGCGATCGACATCTCCTCCAATCGCGCCTGGTGAAACGCGATCGACAAGGATTGCGGCAGCAACATCTGCACCCGGAGCTGAATTTCATCGTCCAATCCGCTGATGAAACTCATGATGAAATAGGACTCGGTGAGACTCGGATTCAATCGCAACATCCGCGCGCGAAGATCCTCAAAAGCCTCCTGGTAATCAGCCACCGAACCTTCTTGCCTAAGCTTGTTGAACGCCCCGACGACGTTCATCTGATCCTTTTCACCGAATCGAAACAGGAGATCCCCAACGAAAATATCCCAAGGCAAGAACTGACGTTGCACGCCCATCCTTCGTACCACACATTAGCTCGCCCCTCCAGATAGAACGAAGCCACCTCCACCTTCTCAGCGTCCGAAATGGAATGAATCTGGAAGTATTTGGCACATTTGCGAAGCCAAGCGTGCGGATCAAAACCGTGGAAGAAAGGAAGATCGAACCGCGGATAATGATCGGCGACGGCAGGCCTGCGATGCTGATGACGACCGAAACTCCGATCACTGGAATCAGCCTGTCCTGGGGGAGAAGGCGGCCGCGGCGAACGATTGAGAAGCATCTGAAGCGAGGCTTCAATTTTCTCGAACGAGTGAGAATGGCGGATCTGAGTGTCCTGGAGAGCTGCGATCGATGCGACGACAGAGCTCATCTGCGCGTCCACTGAAGTCATCTGCTCCTCGAGAACGGAAAGGCGAGTGTTGTGAGTTTGTTCAGGCGCCATTGTTGCTGGAAGAAAGGCTCTGAATACCACTTGTAATGACGGAGGATCGGTAGTTTATTCCAGCGAACAGAGAAGCAGGGAATTACAGAGGAAATGGAAGAGAAAATTGGTAAAGTAAAACTATACTAAACTCAATGTTTGACTTATTCTCCAAAAGATGATTACAATACATTCCTTTTGGGTATTTATACTCTCCGCCAACTGTCTCCAGCTGTCATCCACGCTCCGGGTCATTACAGACGTTGTCGAATGATATATTTCACTGGTTCTCCATCTTCTTCCCTTTCTTCTACACATCACAGATCTATTATATTTCACTGTTTCTCCGTCTTATTTCCTTTATTCTTTGTAGCCGGAGAGGGAGAAAGAGAGAGCGTTGTCGGAGAGAGGTGAGAGGCGGCAGCCGGAGATGCGGTCGCTGAAACACTTACCCAGACTTTGCATCAAAGAGGGGTTGAGAGAAGAAGATGGAGAGATGGGATCCGACTTCAGAGTTGGGTTTATTATTTTTTTTTCTATTAAAATGCTTAATAATAATCTGATGTGGCAATTTTTATGACATGGCGGGTCGGATTTTATGATGTGGCGGGTTAAAATGAGGTGAATCAGCATTTCTGTTAGCCACGTCAGTAAATAACCGACGATGTTAACGGAAACTGACGGAGACTAACGGATAGTGACCAAATTTGGACTTGTTTATTAAATTTAGTGACCACGAATGGAATTAAATATTTTGAGTGGCCAAACGTGAACGTTTTTAGTAATCATAGTGACCAAACTTGCAATTAACCCTGTATTGTTGAATTTGACGTATTGTAAAATATAACGTTTGGTATGTGTGATTATATATGTCACATCACTGATATAAAACAATCTCAACTCAACAATCTCATCAATCGTAATTAAAAGCTGAGATATAACAATTACTTATTTTCAGTGATAGTTTCAGTCACATCACAGAAACAATTCATGTATTGTTTCTATTAAAAAATGATGCTTGCTAAACAATATATGTATAGTAACAATCTCACAAAACAATTGCAACTTCCAAACGACCCCATACTTTACATAATTTTTCTTCGGTTTTAGTAGTAAAGATATACATTTATCAAAACGAGTAAGGACTAGGTCTAATGGTAATATTACTACTTTTAAATCTTGACTATGAAGATTTAGTTTTGAATCCATTCATATATTTTTTAATGATCACTACTATAAAACAATTTATAAATTAACCAATGTTTTTTTGGCGAGCTCGACTAATTAACGAGCTCATGAGCCCTACTCGAAGCTGTCACATCAACAAAATCACGAATTCGACTTGAATTCAACTTATTTATTCTAAATAATTGAACTATTAAAATAATTTATAAACTAACCTATGTTTTCTAAAAATATGAACTGACGAACACTTATATTGAATTAATAAATCATAAGCAACCGCATTTATGTAGCTTAATTCAATAAATTATCTTCAACTAACTAAAAATACTCTAATTGAATGCTCATTATTTTCAAACTAATCTTTGCCTCATGATCCAAAACAAATGCAAAGCGAAAAACTTTAAAAGAAACCTAAACATGCAGATGCAATTTGCTCATACGCTCTTCCCATGCTGATTGATCGTATGATCAGTTGCCTACTCCAAGCCTGCGCACTGAATTGGGAAAATGTTGATGATGACGAACTACATGTGCCCGCTTTGGATGACTATATTCACTACTACCAGCTTGTTTCAAACTTGAAAAAATTTCAGCATTATGCCGGCGGCTGGGGCCTGATGGCATCACGAATCCCTTTCGAAGAGATCTCCGTGGATGATCATTTTGAAGATCACTACTGTCATCTGGTTTCAAATTTGAAACAATTTCAGCATTATGTCGGCGGCTTGGGCCCGACGATATTACTAATCCTTTTCGAAGAGATCGGTGTGGATGATCATTTTGAAGATCACTGCTGCCAACTTGTTTCAAGTTTGAAATTTCAGCATTAGACCTATGGCTGGGGCCCGACGGTACTACGAATCCTTTTCGAAGAGATCGACGTGGATGGTCATTTTGACGATCATGGCTGGTACTACTGTGCAGCATTTGATGAGTTCCCGAGACTCCTACTAATTCCAATGTGACCACCGCCACGTTCATTAGTAGAAAACAAAGCAGAATGTAGTTTGCTCGACTGGAGTCCACCATTATCATGTATTTGTTTGTATTGAAGGTAATTGGTCTCTTTGATTACGATATGAGGATTGAGGAGGATTTTCTGGTTTTATCTCTTGTGAGTATATATATACTTGTATGTTGATGCAACTACGGTGGATGTTTGGAATAGTTCATGGTAATTGAATGACCGTGGAAAACTCAATAAATTAAAAATAGGAAAATATTTCTACCAAAAAGAATCGGAAAATAATTTTACAATGAATTCAAGTCCAAATTAACTAAATTATTATGTGGATCGAGATCCACAGCTAGCGGCTGGATTGTTTTGCATTTCTTATCATCTGCTGATGGCTCCCCGTGATTTTATGTAGAACCGGATATGTGTTTCTTTTGTTCTTTCCCTAAAATTCAGTGTCAAATTAGATCGTGTCGGTGACGGGGAATTTACCGAGAGTCTTAAGTTATGACATTTTCGCATTTCATGCTCTCTTGTATTATATCCGTACTAGCTAATTGGCCCGTGTTTTACGGAGGACAATTTTATGTGATTGGTAAATTATTCTTGACCGAAATCATTGAAATTTTGGGCTCGCTATTATGCTTATACGTATACATTTTTTGTTTGAAAAAAATGTTTCCGTTGAACTTGAAAAAATGTTACGGTCAAATTGAATTTATATTAATATTATAGTAAAATTTCTGTTTGTAACTGTATTTTGGTCGAATTGAATTTATATTTTTGTCAAAAAAAAAATTATAGTAAAATTTCAGTTTGTAACTATATTTTTATACAATTTTTTTATAGTACCAACTAAGCCTGTAATTTAACCTTATGATACATATTCAATTTGCATTTATACATTTCTAGTATAAACTTATTTATAGTACAAACACAACTTATACATCCAGCATTGTAGTACATATTTAACTTGTAATTGAAAGTACAAGTACTTAGCATGGTAAAATTCCTCCCAAAAATCCTGTATTTGAAGCTAGCTCTTCTATGCTTTAAACATTGGTGCTTCGATGTACAAATTGAACTTGTACAATAACGCTAAAAGTATTAGTTCAGTTTGTACTATAAAGGATTTTGTATTTTTATGTTATGATACAAGTTCAATTTATATCATAACATAAAGGTAAAAATTTAATTTACACCGGACAAAAAGATATAAGTACAAACTAAATTTGTACAATAACATTAAAGGTACAATTTTAGTTTGTACCATAAAGACAAAAAAAAACTAAAGCACCGATACTTTAAAACAAGGTAAAATTAAAGGTAAAAGTTGATATATACCAAATAAATCATTGACCAACTACGTAACAAATTAAATACAATAACATATTGGAGGGAAAAAAACAATTTGAGAAACTGAGGTCATGAGTCACATGATAATAGGAATATGCTAATTATTATTTATTACCATATACCACCACATACCACCTTATACCATGGTGGTACCATGATGGTAACGAGTGGTATGAAAAAATATTTTGAAATACAATAAAAATGAATATCATTTTGCAGACCACAACGAACATGTTCAAACTGTACAATTGTTTCTAAATCCATGCTAAAATTAAGAAGATAAAAGCCAATTAAAATCATTTGAGAAAATAAAAGGTCATATAATATCATTCTCTAGATCTGGAATCACTTTAAATTAAAGGTATATTTTTAATTATACAAGTGTAATGCACCCTATTGTTATGCAACCTATGGTGAACCCTTTTATCTCCGAAGTGTTTCGTGGTAAACGCAGTCCAAGAATCTGTTACGCCTATACAGAGTAAATAGCACATTTGGTCACTGAGAGTCTGAGATTACTAAATCGTGTCATTTTTTAGTCACTAGAAAAATATAATATCAATTTTGGTCACTCGAATTACTAGAACAGGTCACATATAGTCACTCTCCCGTTAATGGAGTTGGACGAGAACTAACGGGAGAGTGACTAAATGTGACGTGTTTCAGGAATTCGACTGACTAAATGTGACATATTTCAGTAATTGGAGTGACTGGAGTTGGAAGGAGGCTAAAGGAAGAGTGACTAAATGTGACCTGCTTCAGTTATTCGAGTGACCAAAATTAATATTAAATTTTTCTAGTGACTAAACATGATACGATTTAGTAATTTTAGTGACCAAATGTGGCATTTACCCGCCTATATATGTCACGTAATATCTAATTTTCATATTTGAAACTGTTTCTCTGCTAATATTTTTGTTTTATGCAAATTAGCACATTTTAGCTACATGTGTGTACGCACAATTTTGATTAGTGATGTTGTCATTTATACGAATTCTCAGAAACGCATATTTTATAGCAGGTAAATGCCACATTTGGTCAGTGGAATTAATAAATTTTGCCATGTTTAGTAATTAGAAAAAAATTAATATCAATTTTGGTCACTCAAATTATTGAAGCGGGTCATATTTAGTCACTCTCTGTTAGTCTCCGTCCAACTCTGTTAACAAAGTCCGTTATGTGTTGACATGGCTAACGGGAGCGCCTGGTCAGTGTCATTTTGGACCAGAAATGGTCAAACCCGACCCACCACGTCACTAAACCTACCATGTCATACACTCAACCCAACCAATGAACCAAACCCGACCCAAATCCAAACTCGACACACTTAACTAAAGCAAATATGCCATCTCTTTCCACCACCTTCATCTCTCAATTGCCTTCCTCATGCGCACAGACGCCGCGTCCTTCCGCTGCAACTGTCGGCCTGTCGAACCCTACCCACTCGTCTGCGGCCCTACTCGTGTCATTCCTCCTCAACCTCTCCAGCGCCGCCGAATCCGACCGAGTCTCCGGTGAGCTGTATGTCGTCTACGCCTGGACGAGCTATAGGGTACGGCGCGCAGCCACTACGAGCGGCTGCCGATCAGAGTGGTACCCATTGACGGTGGAGGAAGAGAGGAAACCATCGCTTCTGTGGAGGCGTATTTCGAGGTGAGAAGCTACATGACGGAGATGTGGGAAAGGTGCGGGAAGAGAGGGTATTGGGTGTACGGCGAGAAAGAGGCGCGGGGTTCTGTGAGGAGGAATGATCGGCCCCAGAATTTGAGCTTTCTGTAGCAGATTCAGTTGTTTGTCTCTTCTTCTTCTAGTTCTTTAGATCGAGAATGGGGTTTCTCCGATCTGGTTGGTTTCTATGGCGACAACTGCGGGGAAGAAGTAGGGTATAAGTGATGGGTGAGGGATCGGAGGCCGTAGGCGGCGAGGTGGTGGTTGGCGTTTCCGGGAGGAGAGCTCGTGGAGGATGTAGACGCGGGAGAAGTTGGACGCGAGATTAGATTGGCGCTGATAGTGGCGGCTGCTGGGGGAGCAGAATTGGGAGATGAGGGTGGAGGATGAGATGGCAGGTTTGTTTTTGTTAAGTTGGTTGGGTTTGGTTATGGGTTGGGTTTATGGATTGGTTTGGGTGTATGACATGACAAGTTTAGTGACGTGGCGAGTCTTATTTCTGGCCCAAAATGAAGTTGACTAGACGCTCTCGTTAGCCATGTCATCACATAACGGACTTTGTTAACAGAGTTGGACGGAGACTAACGGAGAGTGACTAAATGTGACATGTTCCAGTAATTTGCTGACCAAAATTGATATTAATTTTTCGGGTTAATTGCAAGGATGGTCACTGGGTTTACTAAAACCGTTCATGTTTGGTCACTGAAAATATTTAATTCCATTTATGGTCACTAAGATTAGTTCAATGGTTAAAGTTTGGTCACTCTCCGTTAGTCTCCGTTAGTTTTTGCTGATGTGGCAGTCAACTATTATAGTTGACCGTTAAATGAGTGACGTGACCATTAAAAAAATAAAAAAAATAAATATTTACAATTTCCACCTCATTTTACAACTATTAAAAAATAAAAATAAAACTTACCTCCGCACTCCGCAGTCTACGCCCTGTACGTGAAACATCTTTGTGGAGCTTCGCCTCACTCGTGCCTGTGTTTTTTCTGATTTCTTTCATTTTCCCATTGTTCAGAATCCGAGTGTCGGGCGGCCGCGTCACAATGGGAATGATCCGAATCGGTGCCACGAGGAAAAAACAGAGTCCGGTTTTGGTGGTTGGAATACTACTGCTTGCTCTGTTTTTGAAGGCTGCGGATGCAGAGTACCGGCGTTACAGAGATCCAACGAAACCGATGGGGGGCCGGATCAGCTTTTTATGCTTTTTTTTATCGTCGTCTTACCGATGAAGTAGTTTTTCACGACGTTAGCTGAAGCGACTTTGCGATCAATCTGAACCATCTGGCCGATCTTTTCCAGCTCCGCCGGCTTGTTCCCGCCGCCTCTCTTGGTTCTCCTCTCCTCGTCCATCCGCTTGGCTTCGATCAGCACCATCGTCTCGCTCACCGTCCAGTTCCCTTTCCTGTAATCCCTCATCACCAGCGATGATCCCCCTCCAAGTCCAACACCACTCCCTCCTCCGCCTTGGCCTTGGTCGCCCATCATTTCCCCCTCCTCCTATAACTATTCCTATAAGATGCGAAGAAAGAAACAAGCTAGTAATTTGAGGTAGTCAAAGGTAGATGTGGAGAGAGATGGAGAAGAGAGATAGACGAAGAGGTATTGCCTGGATCCAGAAGCTCTTTAATTTTAAAGCATAGAAAGCTGATCCGGCCCCCCATCGGTTTCGTTGGATCTCTGTTTTTTCCTCGTGGCACGATCATTCCCATCGTGACGCGGCCGCCCGACACTCGGATTCTGAACAATGGGAAAATGAAAAAAATCAGAAAAAACACAGGCACGAGTGAGGCGAAGCTCCACAAAGATGTTTCACGTACGGGGCATAGACGGTGGAGGTAAGTTTTATTTTTTTAATAGTTGTAAAAATGAGGTGGAAATTGTAAATATTTAAATATTTTTATTTTTTTAATGGCCACGTCACTCATTTAACGGTCAACTATAATAGTTGACTGCCACATTAGCAAAAATTAACGGAGAGTGACCAAATTTGAACCATTGAACTAATCTTAGTGACCATGAATGAAATTAAATATTTGCAGTGACCAAACATGAACGGTTTTAGTAAACTCAGTGACCATCCTTGCAATTAACCCTTAATTTTTCTACTGACTAAACATGACACGATTTAATAAGAGGGTTGTTGTTTGTCGCCCGAGTATTTACTATTTGTCGCCCATAACTTTAGTGAAAATGTCTCCCTAGTTCATTTTTTCATAACACAAATCCCCATCCACCACCAGCAGACCACCACCATCGTCGGCCCCAGACCACCGCCTCCGCCTTCAGATCCCGTCCCAGCGGGCGGACGTCGTCCGACCACAGCAGGCAGAGGGATAAATAAATAAATAAAAACCCTACCTTGACGACGATTCCTTCCACGATGGCGGTGATTTTTTCCCAATTTCACGGTGGAAACTTCTATTACGAAAATAACGGTGGAGGGATTACGGGGGAGAGATAAGGGAAATATAATAAGGAAAGTTTATTAATAATTGGTAATTCTAAACACTAATCTAGTCGATTATGTTAAATAATCATTAATCTAACTAATTCCACGTTCAGAATCCAGTCTTGATACATTTATTCCCTTAACTCTTTTGACAATAAAAAAAAAAAAAGAGTTACATAAAGTGATTATACTCTATTGACGGACACAAAAATAGAAATTAATAATAACCTAAAATAATTATCTTGGACGTAATATTTTATAATTATTTAAAGGTTTATGTAAAGTGATTAAATTCACCTATTGGAGACAAACAAGGAAATTAAGAAAACCCTAAAATTACCTTAATTAAAATAAAGTTTCCTCTAATACAATGTTGTAGTAGGATTAGATGTATTGAGGTTGAAGTTAGCTATTTTGTGGGAATTAGGATTTAGGATTTGAGAGAGGTAGAATGTGCAGAGAGGGAACATATGATTTCATCTTTTGTTACTGTTATTGTTGTTGCGATTAGATTAAGTATTAATTCATCTAGCTAGCTAACTCCTGCCTCACCAAGTTTATTCACTAAACTTATTTTACGCACAAAAAATTAAAAAAAATACTTAAGTGATTAAATTAAACTCAACTACTACTATTAAAACAGGTAATTAGTTATTAAATTATGTTTCCCCTAATTCCGTTTGTAGCAATCAAAGAAGAAAATAATTAATAATAAAAATATTACTTATTATGGGCTTAGACGTGATAATTAAAGGAAGATTGTTTCTGTTCTCAATTCACAATCAAAGAGGAAGATTGTTTTGCGTTCAGCCGTGATCATATATATTTAACATAATATTATATAATTATTAACCGTTAATCTAACTAAGTTACTGGTTCTTATTTATTTGAAAAAAATAATATAATAATAAATTATATTCCATACGTGTTTGATAATTATGTTAAAAAATAATATATTAATAAATTGTATTCCACCATTAATCTAACGAATTATGAATAGTGTCCCGGACAAAAAAAGAAATACAAATTCGAGGTTGTTAATTAGAGATAACATCCTATAATTATTGGTAATCTTGGGTTATATTTGTTCAACCGTGATTATATATATTTAACATAATAATATAACTATTAACCTTTGATAACTACCAGACGTGGATTGGGATGTTAAATTGAGAGTGTAATTAAGGGATGTGGGTTATTGCCTTATTGGGGATGAATTTATTTCCGGTTGTTAATTAGGAAAATAATCATTAGATGTATTGGGAGGAAATTACGTTGGGTTGGGTTGTTAAATAGGAAAATACAATTAGAGGTTGTTAATTACGAAAATTTCCTTCCGAAAACTTATTACTCAAATTTCCTCTTTCGAAAACTTGCCATAAGAAACTCTCTTTAAATTAAATTAAACTCAACTACTACTATTAAAACAGGTAATTAGTTATTAAATTATGTTTCCCCTAATTCCGTTTGTAGAAATCAAAGAAGAAAATAATTAATAATAAAAATATTACTTATTATGGGCTTAGACGTGATAATTAAAGGAAGATTGTTTCTGTTGTCAATTCATAATCAAAGAGGAAGATTGTTTTGCGTTCAACCGTGATCATATATATTTAACATAATATTATATAATTATTAACCGTTAATCTAACTAAGTTACTGGTTCTTATTTATTTGAAAAAAATAATATAATAATAAATTATATTCCATACGTGTTTGATAATTATGTTAAAAAATAATATATTAATAAATTGTATTCCACCGTTAATCTAACGAATTATGAATAGTGTCCCGGACAAAAAAAGAAATACAGATTCGAGGTTGTTAATTAGAGATAACATCCTATAATTATTGGTAATCTTGGGTTATATTTGTTCAACCATGATTATATATATTTAACATAATAATATAATTATTAACCTTTAATCTTACTAACATACTGGTTCATATTTATTTAAAAGAAATATTAATAAATTATATTCCATACGTGTTTGATAACTACCAGACGTGGATTGGGATGTTAAATTGAGAGTGTAATTAAGGGATGTGGGTTATTGCCTTATTGGGGATGAATTTATTTCCGGTTGTTAATTAGGAAAATAATCATTAGATGTATTGGGAGGAAATTACGTTGGGTTGGGTTGTTAAATAGGAAAATACAATTAGAGGTTGTTAATTACGAAAATTTCCTTCCGAAAACTTCTTACTCAAATTTCCTCTTTCGAAAACTTGCCATAAGAAACTCTCTTTAAATTAAATTAAACTCAACTACTACTATTAAAACAGGTAATTAGTTATTAAATTATGTTTCCCCTAATTCCGTTTGTAGAAATCAAAGAAGAAAATAATTAATAATAAAAATATTACTTATTATGGGCTTAGACGTGATAATTAAAGGAAGATTGTTTCTGTTGTCAATTCACAATCAAAGAGGAAGATTGTTTTGCGTTCAACCGTGATCATATATATTTAACATAATATTATATAATTATTAACCGTTAATCTAACTAAGTTACTGGTTCTTATTTATTTTTAAAAAATAATATAATAATAAATTATATTCCATACGTGTTTGATAATTATCTTAAAAAATAATATATTAATAAATTGTATTCCACCGTTAATCTAACGAATTATGAATAGTGTCCCGGACAAAAAAAGAAATACAGATTCGAGGTTGTTAATTAGAGATAACATCCTATAATTATTGGTAATCTTGGGTTATATTTGTTCAACCGTGATTATATATATTTAACATAATAATATAATTATTAACCTTTAATCTTACTAACATACTGGTTCATATTTATTTAAAAGAAATATTAATAAATTATATTCCATACGTGTTTGATAACTACCAGACGTGGATTGGGATGTTAAATTGAGAGTGTAATTAAGGGATGTAGTTTATTGCCTTATTGGGGATGAATTTATTTCCGGTTGTTAATTAGGAAAATAATCATTAGATGTATTGGGAGGAAATTACGTTGGGTTGGGTTGTAAAATAGGAAAATACAATTAGAGGTTGTTAATTACGAAAATTTCCTTCCGAAAACTTATTACTCAAATTTCCTCTTTCGAAAACTTGCCATAAGAAACTCTCTTTAATTTGCTTAATTATCGGATTTATAATTACTTAAAACTACATAACTATTTAAATCCTAATTATGATATTTTACACTTATTTAATTACTAATTACTAATTAATAATTTAAAAACGTTTTTTGACACAAAAAAAAGTAGTAACCGTCAGTCGCTGGGTCTTTGACCCCGTCCGCCGCCGGGTCTCGGACCCCATCCGCCACCTGTTCTCGGACCCCGTCTGCCACCAAAATTCGGACCCCGTCTGTCCACGGTGTTAAGCTTCTCGACAAGCTCGTTCCTCTACGTCGGCGATGACAACACACACGGCGAGCTCCTTCCTCTTGAACACCGGCGACTTTGTGAGGGGAGGGAGTGAGGTCGAACGAATGGAGAGGTCGGCGGTGGGAGCAACGGTGAAGGGATCGAAGGAATGAAGTCGCCGGCGACGGCTGTTGTGGCCTATGGGAGGAGGGTGTGAGGGAATGGGTCAGATAGATTTAGGGTTAGTTGGAAGAAGGGCAAAATCGTCTTATATTTTAGAACTATGGGCGGCAAGTAGTAAATTAGGGCGGCAAATAGCGATTCATTTTAATTCCAATGACTAAATGTGGAATCATTTATTTAAAATATATTATAGTGATGTATAGTGCAACAATTTTTACCGCTTATCTATCTGCAAGGTAAATAGGTGTTTGTCTATATTCATAAATAAAAATTGTTAGAGCACATGGATTTATAGCGAAATACTTTGCAACAAAGTTTTGCAAATGCGGATAAAATCTGACACTATGTTTCCGAAGGGAGGGAGGTGAAGGAAAATTAGGAGGGGATTGGAAATTTGAAGGTGAGGAAAATTGGAGGGAATTGGAAAGAAAATGTTGTTTTATGGAGGAAAGTGGAGAGAAAAGTAGGAGATAAAAAGTAGATTGGTAAGTGTGATAGATATTGTTTTTTTATTGATGATGTAAGAGTTAAATAATTAACTTGTATTTATACTATTTACATTAATTATATATTGTGGATCAAAGTGGTTATTCTTTGCTAATTTTGTTAACTACACGAAATTAAGTTGGTTATTTGAATAAAATTAGTGAAACTAAGAATAAGTTAACTATTTTATTGAGTCATGAACATGGCAACCTAATATATAAACATACAATAAATCACACATATATAAATTGTCCAAAAAACAACTGGATAATAGTAGTTTTCCAAACATAAGGTTACATGCTAATACTAGAAGTACATAAAATTGTCCAAAATCTGTTAATACTAGACATACATTGTACAATCCGTCTAAAAGGTCGCCTGATAATACTAGACTTACATAAGTTCGTCCAAAAGAAGGCAACATGTTAGTACTAGTTCACATGCTAATACTAGACATACATAAATCCGTCCTAAATAAAGGCATCTACTAATACTAGACATACATAGTACAATTCATCCAAAAGAAGGTCACCTAATAATACTATACTTAAATAAGTTTGTCCAAAAGAAGGCAAATTGTTAGTACTAGGCATACATAATACTAGACCACATCAAAAGTCAACTTGCCAAAAGGTTTGTTTTTTTGCCAAATCAACAATGAACTGTTGCAGATACTCTTCTGGCAAGCCAAATAAAACCCTTGTGGTATCTGGATTTTTTGCAAGATACTTATAGCCATTCAACCTCTTTTCTCCAAGAATATCATATCGTTGCAATTCTTGGAAAATTTCGCCCTCTTTGTAGATGTGAGTCTTCTGATGGTCGAGTATCACCAAAGACCTCTCTTTAATCTCATTTCCTTTCTCCATAGCCTTGATAGAAAGTTCAGCAATCACATTACCTTTCTCTATACTTGATGCCATTCTACTCATGTTGACAGCCATTACCTCAAGCTGATTGGTAGATAGATATTCCATAAGAGCCTTTCTTTTGGTTCCCTTTGAAGAGGTAGTACCATGAGAGTCGACTAATGGTGGAGGATCAGGAGTAAATAAAGATCTACCATCGGAGCTATATGCATTTGTGCCTTCACGAGGTGTAAATGGTGAAGGAATATAGGCATTCATACCTTCATCATCTCCTGACATGTTATTCAAATCAATGTCGAATGCCGAAGTCCTCATATTCCAACGTTCGATCCTCTCAAATGCACTTGCAGCTCCTTCTCCGCTTGCTCTAAACTCCCCATACAACTCAAAGAGTTTATCATAGTTGTTGATGGGTGTCATAATCCATCGACTAGCATTCGGCTTCTCGTACATTACAACAATAAATTTTATAATAATATGTATGTGATTGGAAAGTCAAGGAAAAAAGGGAAAAAATAGATCATATACCTGAATTAGTTGCTCCATACTTCCCGTTCAGCTTCAAAAAGTTTGGTTACCGGATTCCATGCAAACCCACTCAGGTTATGAAATAAGTCTTTCACAGTTGAAAAGTGCTTTTTCAATGTCTTCTGCCTATTTTTTATTTTCTCCTTGTCGAAATTATGCGAAAACAGCCCACGCAAAGCAATTGTTATAAGCATGAGTTGTGAACATGCGCTCTTGCCTATTCCCCTTACGTTGCTCGGCTAGTAAACTTTCCAGCAAAGCAGTGCCCATCTCCTTTGTCCATTGTAGGTTCTCCTTAGTGGATGTCTCCCCCACAATTGTCTGCTTCCCTTTTCTTCGTTTGCTCATTGTGCTTCCTTTAAAAAAGGTTGAATATTAGTCATCAAAACTAGATAGTGGATAAAGGCATAATTGCAAGTACTTTAGTTCTGGGGAAAAATAAAGGCACACATAAATAAAGTCACAAAAGTCTCTAATATGGAATAATGTACTACAAAACATCTAGAGTAAACAAAAGTTGTACAAATTATACACCATATTCATTCAACAGAAAACCTCCAAAGTAAAAACACAGCTACAAACACATGTCAACCTTGTTGTATATTATAATCATGCCACATGTGTTCCGCTATACTATCACGTAATTCTACCCCAACTCTTGATTCCTCTTCACATTGTGGCTCATTTTGCCTTTGGATCCTCGCTAGCTCTCGATCAACTTCTGCAATTAGCTGCTCATCGGGGTCGACTCCCATAAGAAAGTTATGTATGATACAACAAGCTAGGATAATGTTGGTAGTTGTGTCGAAAGAATATTGTGGCTCCATACCAGTGCCAATAATAGGAAATCTCTTTTTCACCACCCCAAAACATCTTTCAATCGAGTTACGTAGACTAGCATGACGATGATTGAACAATTCTTTAGCATTCTTAGGACCATTACGTGAATACTCCTTTAAGTGATACCGAACACGTCTGTATGGTGTTAATAACGAAGCACGTAACATTAGCCCACCATCCTCAAGATAGAATTTCCCTATAGATTATTAAAAAAAACATTAATGAAAAGATGAATGATGCAAGTAATGGTGAAACACATACAAGAATGATTATGCTACATGACATACCTTCCAGTATTACAAGCCCATGTGGTCTAGCCAATGCATCTTTTAAAATCCTTGAATCAGATGCAGTCCCTTCCCACCCAGCTAAAACGTACAGGAATTGCAAGTCAAAGTGGCATGAAGCTAGAACATTTTGAGTAGGCCACTCTTTCCGACCTCTAAAACGAGTTTGACTGGCGCGAGTTCCGACCATCAATATCCCCAATGCAATCCTGAGGAGATATGTATGCAGACATATAAGTATACATGGTTTGAAAGACACTTTAAGATATGGAACTATGTACACAGTGGAAGTAATGAATCATTACCTTGAAGTACGTAAAAAATCTAGAGTTATTGCCTATTATGGAGGACACCGGCGTTGTTGCATTAGGTTGCTTCATGAATTGAGGTGCTAAACTTATCACAGCTCGCAAGACATTATGAAAATGCCTACTGACAGTCCCAATACTTCGACGATAGTAGAAAGCCAGATTGCGATACTTGCCACCAGTGTGGGCAAGAATAGACAAAAATCTCGCTACTTGCTCTTCCACTGTGGCACGATTATAATCTTGCAACACTCCCGTACTCCGTAATTTTTCACAAAAAAGAGCAAAAGCTTGTACTCCCATGCGTAATGTTGCACGACATGCAACTTCATGGTCATGTAATTCTTTCAAAAAATCTCTTCTTTTCTCCTCTCTCACTTGAAAACTCAACCCTGAAGATCCATTCGAGGCTTGTCTATTTAATAGATGCAATGCATAGACAATATAGCAGATAAGTTGTATGACACACATATCTCTTTGTCTTCGCCAATTTTCCATGACTATTATCAAACTATCTTGTTCTGTTCCATGCAAATCCAAAATCTCTTCCAAACCATATGTAACATGCTCTTCAATCTCATTTGAATCTTGAACTTCTATATTCATCTAATCAAGATACAAATGAAAATTAAGTTGCTATGTTAATGTTGTAAAATTTATTTAGCGCACACATCATATCATTTGTACATTAATCGGCAGATGATGGACTTTATTGGGTAAATCATTATGTTCTCTTTTTAAAGGCAGGTTTTAGTACCAATGAAACATCTTAAACATTAGAAAATAGCAACCTATGAAAGAACAAGCACAACAACTAGAGTTCAAAGAATCAAAACGATCTAGTCATAACAATAACAACAACAACAACAACAAAAAAACAGATTCAACAAAGGATAACCAGAGCCACATCAATGGGCCGACAATGAAAACATCCAGCAGTTCAGTTCATTATCCTAAACTAAGAACAATCATAAGTAGTAGCCTGAGTCAAAGCGGTATAATGCATTCGACAATTAGTAGAGCAACATACCTCGCGGCGTCAACAACGAACACTATTGTCCCCAGTCCTCAAGCTATCGAAAATCTCCTAGAAGCCCAGAACGACCGAGAGAGAAGAAAAATCAGAGGCCCCCCGCAGCAAAAGCAACAATCTGTAATAAAGAAAAAAATCAATAGTTTATATACCCTAGCTTTTATGATTTGGGGGAGAAGAGAATATGATGAAATTTGGGGTAGATTTTCTTACCATGGACAACGGAGAATACTCTGATTTTCAGTGGCTGGCCAAAGAAGAAGGAAGCAGGCTATGGGATAGTTCTGGTTTGGGAAAGAAAAACGAAAGTCCAGTAGCAACCACGATGAACCCTTGTTCTCTGATTTGGGGGGAAAGGAATAAATAAGAAGTTTTGATCGGGGAAGAAAATCGACAAAGAAAAACAGATTACAAATCGAAATTACCCATAGAAAATGAAGAAAGGAGGCCGATATGTGAGAATGAAAAACGAAGATCTGTGGGGAGAAAGAAGACAATCGAAGATGCGTGTACTGTGGGGAGATGGTAGATTTTGGAAGAATGGAATGGAAGGTAGGATAGATTATGTGAGGTAAAGGAAATATAGCTTTATTATTGTCATTATTTGTGCAATGGGAGAAAGAAGACAAACGAGATCTGGGAAGGACAAAGAAGAACAAAAGACTCTGTTTTCTCACTACACTGGATCGTCTTCTCTATCCTAGGGGAACAAGAAGAAGATAGTAGAGAAAAGTGAGGAGAGAGGAGAGAGGGCAAATAAATAAATAAATAAATAAATAAGAATTTTGCTGGTTAATTGTTGTTTTCTCTAAAAAAAGAGGGTTGGGTTACACAATAACCTGTCCACCCACTTTCTTTCACCTTGTCACTATTACTAATTTGGAAACTGTGGAAAGTTTCTTGGAGATGGTGCTTTCCCTCCTTTTCTTTTCCTCCCCTTCTTTTCTTTCCCACGTGAACACAGTGTGAAAGTTGGATGAGTGGTTGTCAACATTTAGAAGAAGAAAATCACAAGGATGAGCTACAGCGCATAAATTTATATCGACTTTGTATTTGTGTGTGTATATATGTATAGAAATCCTCGCTGCGGCCAGCAACAAAAATTCAAAACATAGGCCGCTTGAACAACTTAATCCACGTGTATATATTCTTTCCAAACAAAAACAGGCAAAAACTGGGTCTCTTGTCTTCATAACAAATGCAGCCAAAATGCTGTAGTAGCTAGCAGCTGGCTACTGGGTTTCACCGGCGGTTGCCTACTCCGGGGCTCGGCACTGAGTAGCTCAACTGGTGATGGAAACTCCTCTGGCCGCCGTGATGACGATGATGCCGGCGATGTTCAACATCATAATATCGATGCATCATGAGAGTAGTAATTGTGCCGGGAGCTGCATTTCCCCGATGGCTCGGCCCCGATGATATTACTGATGCCGCCTTTTTCATTGCTTCATCGGCGCCATTAAGTACTCCTGCCACATGATGATCCTGAATTACTCGAGCTCCTGAACATGAATTAGCTCCTAGTGTCTCCAACATGATCACCAGAATCATCACAAAACGTAACAGAACACTATTTTTGTTGTATCCCGCCATATCTTCTTATCTATATGGTGATGATGATGATGATAATCTTGATTCTGGAAGCTGGTAGATGGATGCGTCTGATGTTCTCTATTGGATGTTGGGTGCTGGGGAGGAACTGAACATAAATAGGTGCGAGGCCTGTTTTCAATTCAATTAAGAAGTATATACATATATGGTAGATAAATTGACTTTTTGTTTGCAACCGAACAAAAAATAGTAAAATACTAATGATTAGAAATTTAGAATATGAAAAAAAATTGAGAATGAATCCCCCCTTGCAGATAATTCTAGTTGGAAGAACAGTTGGACGGTTCTTAGTACTTAACCATTATGCTCGAACTCGTTCAGCGAACGCGCGGCTATACAGACAGTTGGTGATTACAACATGTTTATTATACTCTATTTTGGTTTCAATGCTGTTTGGCTAATTAATTAGGTAAAGAATGAGTCTTATGTGCAACTGTTTAAAACAACCAGACTAATGGGAAATGAAGTAATACCAGTAGTGGGTATGAGTCCAATTACGTGCCCAATAAGTTGGGAATTAATGGACGATGGACACAGGTTGATTGATTGATGTCCACGTCGAGCACTTTTGTTAGCTAGGAAGGTGGAAGGAAATGTCGTCGTGAACATATAAGTTGAAGTCTTCAAGAGAGCTCAGCTATCTGCTTTTGTTTGGATTAGTATATGTATTGTCTTAATTTGGGAATTGGGTCTCCGGACTCCAATATGTGGCTTTCAACGACCAATGTCTGTTGTTGAACAGTGGCAATACTACAGCGGCAATCGCACGACTAGGGGCGCGACTCAATGAATGGATTGACTTTTAAGTTTATCATTAATTAAGTCTTCAATGTTACATAAATATCCCGCGCTTCATGTTAATCGTAGCGAAATATCGAAACAGAATACGTAAATCGACACAGAGAGTTACATGGTTTAATTTTTTCGTTCAATATGAACGAGACTAGTCTACGACCGAAACTATTGTATACTCTTATTCAGCGTAGCTTCAACAAGTCTGGTTACAAGCATATAAATACAAGCTAGAGACATAAGACCCTAGCTAACTCGGAAAGCCCTAGCAAACCCGTACTAACAAGCTATCGTATGGGAAAGTGGGCCGAAAGCCAAGTACATTACTCAATAGCCTCCCCCAAATTGATGAGGATCTCTCATCATCAATTTGCAAGAAAGATAAAAGTAAAAACTGGCCGAGAAGGACTTGGTCTATATATCTACAATCTGATCTTCCGACGTAATGTAGAATAGGCACAAAATGCCATCACGAACCAAGTCATGGATATAGTGCCATTGGACCTCAAACTGCCACCAACACTCATGTAGTGTTTACCCCCGCCGGGTAATAACTCGCCAGACTCTCGACCGAGGAGTGACTCACTCCTACTGTCAGCCTAGAAAATGGCCAAGTGAAACCACTTCCTAAGGCGTAGTATAGCGGGTTTGGGTTTTAATGTCAACCCGGGTCCTAGATTTGATGACTACTCGGTGAATTCTTGTTATCTAGCAGTAAAACTTTAGTGCAAGTCCAAATTAACAAACAAACAAAGCAAGTAAACGGTTGTTTTTAGGTTAAGAGAGGTCACCCGGATATGGTTCCCCCTAGACTGCAATTTATCAAGTTCAGTTTCCATGAAAATTATACTGCGGAAGGTTCTTAAACAGCCTGAAGTCTCGACTAAAGGTCTTCAGACCCTCTCAATCTGAGTCTCCAGCGGGCGACTAACCTCCACCGGAGTAAACAGGTTGAGGCCCTACGAACAAAACCTCCACTACCGAAGTGAATTCGGTACAGAATAGTGAGTTGGCTCCTCGACTAAAGTCACCAACTCCCTACCTTCAATCAAGGATGCTCTATCAACCTAGGCAGATATTCTCATTCTAGGTTAAAGCAGAAACAACAGGAATTTGATCAGGATTCAAGTCATTCAATCATTCAAGCCTCAATCGAATATAATCAACTCATGAAATCTGTACTTGGGTTCATACAATCAGACCTAACATACAAATCTAGGGTTCTCCATACCCAGATGAATGGGAGAACTACTCCATGGAGAAAGAAGCAAAAGCAGATTCAGACGCGGAAATCATACTGTGAAGGATGGATTTCTGCTCCTGGACGTTGATCGGCACTTTGCCAAGCTCAACCGGACTCCAATGGTGATGAAGATCAGGCTATGGCACTTGGGAACTCTTGTTCGTCGCTTTCTCTCTCTAGGAATCGCTCTGTCTCTCTAAAACTCGAATCCCTTGATTTTCAGCCTTCTTTTCCCTTAAAACTGCTGCTTGTCGCGATACCCGGTCGAAATACTCGGTCCGGTATTTTGGGTCTCGACCGGGTATAAATGAAACGCACGTTTTGATGTCAGGGGAAATCCCCGGTCTGTCCTCAGAATCCCCGACCGGGGGTTTTTGGCTCCTGCCAGGGCCCCCCTCTGTTTCTCACGGGTGCCAAAACAATAAATACCCGGTCAGGTGTTTGAGCCCACGACCGGATATTTTCCTCCTGCAGCACACTTTGACCCAACTTCGCTCCTTTCGACCCAAAACTCGTTTCCTCGCCTCGATTCCAATGCCGGGTCCTGAAATGTGACATAAACACACAACCTCGCGTGAAATCGGCTTAAACACGAGAGTCAACCTCTCAAACGGCTCAAGAATAGGGGTAAAAACATGTGTAATTATTGGTCTATCAAACTCCCCCACACTTAACCGTTTGCTTGTCCCCAAGCAAACCTAACTCAAACCAATGCAACTCTCCAGACCTCTATAGCAACCAACAACCCCGATCATAGGTAGAGGATTTCCTAGATCATTTAGCAGCTTACGAGGTCAACCGATGCACAAGTCATCTCATAGCTTCTTCGGCGAGAACGCTAGTCTCGAATCGGCATCATGGCAAATAGTGAGAAGAGGACAAATGGACGAATGGACTCTCAAAAACAAAAGATCATGGACTCACCTTTTTAAGGTGCTCTATTTTCTTCTTGAAGATGGTTGGAACCCTTTTTCTTTCTGTTTTGCTTGTTTTATTTGTTTTTGTTAAAGCACATTTTCGAGCACCTTTTATTTCAAAAACATGATACAGGAGTCCATGACAGGTAGAGAGTCCACATCACCACACAATTCAAGAGTCCTAAGATCACTAATTCGCACAATCAACCAACACAATATGAAGAAGAAAGGTGACTTCTTAAATGCATCAACATCCTCCATAGTGATACACTACCTCCCTAGGTAGCACATTACTATAGAGACTGTCAATTCAAAGCATACTGAGCAGGCAATTGCAAGGAACACGTACTTGGGGCCCTCAAATTTAAAAATTTGGACAGTGGACTAGGCTCCAAGCACACAAACAGATCTAACGCAGTCAAAAGATAAACATCCCCCCACACTTAAGATCGACATTGCTCTCAATGGAGAAGAGGGAAGGAAAATGGGAACGATGTTACCAGTATGCACAGACTGCAGGAGACTGGAAGCGGACCAGTCGGAGTGAAGCGGACTAGAGAGAGGACCAGTCAAGACAAGCATAGCTAAAGGAAACCAAAGAGCTCAAACACAATACGTCAGGTCTAATGGTCAGCCCAATAGTACAACATCCAAAATAAAAAGAAAGAAACTCAACCAACACAAGACAGTTTGCACACTGACAAAAACAAACACACTCAAAACATGGCACTAGGAGCCGCCTCCTAGACCGGTGAAGTCGATCTGGTTCATGAGGTCGTCGTCTCCATCCTCTGGTGGTGGTGGTGAATGATCCCACCGGATGGTCTAGTGGTGCTCCTCTGGGGGGTGGCAAGCCTGGAGCAGGTGCTCCGAGTACTCCATCAATCAGCGGCCTCGATCTCTCTCCCGCTCGATGAGAGCACCCGTGACTCCCATATGGGTCTCTAAGCGGCCGAGGTGCTCGTCAACAACCGTCAGCCTGGAATGGTACTCGGCCTGGTGGGCCGAATACTGCTGGTAGAACTGGACCTGATGGTCCATGAGCTGCTGGTTCTGAAGACCGAGCTGCCGGAACTGGAGCCCCATCTGCTGGAACTGCTCCGTGAAGAAGTCCATCGACGGGCCAGAAGCCATCGACGGACCAGAAGGACCGGAGGAGGACTTACCTCGCTCCGGTCTCCGTCGTGGCCGAAGGTCCCCTGGTGGAGAGAGCGGGGGCTCCGGCTCATCGGCATCCATGGCCCCGCCATCATCATCATCCTCATCCTCCTCCGCGCTAGAATAGTCAGCGTCCTCCTCATCATCATCGAGATCCACATCCTCATCAGGAGGCAGGGAAAGCCTATACACCCAGGTGCGGGTGCCATCAGTGGCCAGGAGGAGTGCATTGTGGAGCACTTCCCGGCTGAGGGGGGTGGAGCCGCCCCGTGCAGAAGAATCTGTGAGCCCCTGGAAGCTGATGTTGAAATGGCGCGCTAGATGGGTGATCAGGGAACCACAATTGAGATGGTTGGGTTTCCCATGGCATCGAGAGAAGGTGGTGGCCACGAAGGAACCCAAATGCAGCATGTGATCCGGGTCCCGCATCGAGAACATGGCATAGAGCACCCGCTTCGGAATCTTGTGAGAGTCGGTGACGTTGGGGACAATGGAGCGGGTGATGAGCAAGTTCAGGATGTGCCACTGCGGCTTGAGGGTCCGGACGTATGTCTGGCCAGCGTCGAAGTAGTCAAACGCATAGGTGCGTCGGGCAATCTGCGAGTAGAACAAATCCATGTTCCAGTTTGTTGGATTCGGGACCTCGATCACGTGGCGGGAAGATGGGTGATACTGGATCCCCAAGGCGGAGGCCAACCCGTCAATGGTCAGCTCCCGGGGATAGCCACCTAGCCTGAATCTCACTGCAGAGGAGTCCTGAGCCGCCTTGCTGTCGTACTTGAAGGTGGTGTAGAACTCCCACACCAGCTCAGTGTAGGTGGGCTCGTTGATAGCCAGCAGCGTCCGCCAATCGCGGTGGCTGATGGCGGCAGTGAGCTCCTGCATGCAGTGGAGCTGCTCGAACACTGCCCACTCCAGATGGTGGTGGCGCTCCAATTTCCCCCGAGTCACCGCGCGGAACTGGTCCGCGTACTCTGGGTGCAGGCTCAGGCCCTGCACAAACTGATGGTCGAGGGACATGTTCCTGCAAAATCAACCAACCAAAGGTGGAGCCAAGAAAAGACTTGTCAGGACCAAAGCATGGGTTCATCACTTCCCCCACACTTAAGGAGCACCTAGGCTAACAGTTGTAAGCACAGGCGGTTGAATCGCAAGCAACCCAACCGGAATCAAGGCAAGGAACACGGAACCAACCACATTAATTACACGGGCAGCACACACACCATAGATAGAACCATGCATTCCCAAAGCATCCCTCACCCTTTTCTAAATCATGCATGCAAATACAGTTCTCGGTCCTACAATCTACAGTTCGATTTTCCAGGAAAGAGCAGTTAACAAGAAACACACCTGAAAACGCAAGTAGAACTGTAGCTAAGGCTCAAAAAACGGGTGAGGGACGCGAGACGGCGGCCAAAAATGACCCGGGAAGCTCGCCAGAAAATGGCCGAAAAGTCGTCGGAAACCCACCGGAAGGTCGCCGGAAAACGACCGGCGGCAGCCGGCGGCGGCGGGGGTGGCGGCCGGCTACGAGGGGCGGCGGCCGGCGACGATAACGCGGCGGCGGCGGAGAAGAGAGAGGGGAGAGGATTGGAGAGGAAGAGAGGGGGAAAATTTGAAAAATGAGGGTAGAGAGAGAAACTGACCGGGGGTTTGCTATAAATAGAAAAAATCCCCGGTCGGGGCTCAAAAATACCCGGTCGGGTATTTTTGATTCCACGACCGGGGGTTCCTAAACGCGGCGTGCCAAGGTAATGGAATCCCCGGCCTTGAGCCAAAAATACCCGGTCGGGTGTTTTTGGGTCAAGGTCGGGGGTTCTTGAAACGCAGCGTCTGAACTTGGGAAAATCCCCGGCCGTGAACCAAAAATACCCGGTCGGGTATTTTTGGGACCAGGTCAGGTGTTTTCCATTTTTCACCCCGAGGAACAGAAGGGGTCCCGGCCGTGAACCAAAAATACCCGGTCGGGTATTTTGGCCCACGACCGGGTATTTTCCCCTTCCGGCCAAAAAACTCATTCTCCCAAATTTTCGACCTCTCCTGCACGACAGCACCAAATCGAGGCATAACAGACGACCGAACTTCACCACAGACATGCAACTGACTCAAGACGACACAAAAACTCAGAAAAAAGGGAAAAAGAAATGCAAACCGTGGTGGGGTTGCCTCCCCACAAGCGCTTCTTTACCGTCTTTTAGCTGGACGCCCATGGTGGATACTCACGGAGGTTGCTAAGCCTCCAAGAGCGGATCCACGTCGCTCTTGAGGTATAGCTTCAGGTTGTGGCCATGCACTCGACGGGTGCGACCACCAGCATTGGTCAGCTCGACCTGGCCATCCGGCAAGATGCAGGCGAGTGAGTACTCGGATGGCGAGGGTGGTCGTGGTGCAGGAGGTGGAACCAGCTCGTAGTGCTCTCCACCCTTCTTCTGTGCAGGCTTAGCAACCTGCTGCTTCGGCCGCCACTCCTCCTTGATCTTTTTGTTCGGAGGCGAGACTGGATGGAATGGCGGCGAAGGAATGATAGGAGGCTCCTGCAAAATGAGAGGTGCAGGAGGATACACGACAGACTCGTGTACCTGATCAGAGATGGCATGCACAGGTGTGACATCAATCACAGCACAGTGATCAAAGTCAGTCACAGAAAAAGTAGCCTGTTTATTCCCAGCACGCAGGATCAGTTTACCATCATGCACATCAATAAGTGCCTTGGCGGTGGCAAGAAATGGTCTACCTAGAATCAAAGGCACATCCACATCCTCGTGTATATCAAGAATAACAAAATCAACAGGATATGTGAATGCACCGACATTGACAAGCAGATCCTCTATGATTCCCCTAGGATGCACAATGGAACGATCAGCTAGCTGAATGCTCATCCTAGTAGGGCTAAGTTCACCTAGGTCTAGATTTTTATCCAGCTTATATGGCATGACATTTATGCTAGCGCCTAGGTCCGCCAAGGACTTGCCTACATGCATGCTGCCAATAGTAAGAGGGATAGTAAAACTCCCTGGGTCCTTGCGCTTTTCAGGCAACTTGTTCTGCAGGATAGCAGAACACTCCTCACTGTGCATCACTGTCAAAAGATCCCCAAGTTTCTTCTTGTTGGTGAGGAGGTCTTTCATGAACTTGGCATACTTGGGCATCTTCGACAGTGCCTCCACGAACAGTATGCTAATGTTGAGCTGCTTCAACATTGCCATAAACTTGGCAAACTCAGTCTCCAGCTTGTCTTTGTGTAGGCGAGTGGGGAAGGGAAGCTGGGGTACCTGCTCCTTAACCACTGGTTGTGGCTTGGGAGCAGGGGCTTCCTTCTCCACCCGCACTTCTGCATCGTCGGCTTGAAGTGCTGAAGCAGGTAGTGGTTCCTCCTGCCTGGCCGGGGCATGATCAGCAGGTAGTGGTTCCTCCTGCCTAGCCGGGGCAGGATCAGCAGATATGGTCTTACCGCTCCTGGTAAAAATGGCATCCAGCTGCTGGGGCGGTTCCCATGGATTGGGGATGGTATAGTGGCAGGTAGAGTGCCCGGTGCCCTGGTGTTGTTCTGGCGGGCTATTCCTCCAATCTGATGTTGGAGGTCCTGCAGTATAGCACCTTGGTTTCTCTGACCTGCCTCCAGCGAGGCGATGCTCTGGTCTATCCTGGCGAAATTCGCCTGGCTGGTAGTCATGAATGCCGCTAAAATATTTTTCAGCTCTGTCATTTAGTTATCTGGAGCTGGGGTTGCTGCCGGCTCGGCATACTGACGCTGGGGCTGGTGGAATAGCTAGGGATGGCAACAAAACCCGAACCCATGGGTACCCACCCGACCCAACCCGGTCAACGCGGGTAAATCCGTGTTGACGGGTTTTGGGCCGGGTTTGGGTTTAAACCCGTTCACTATTCACCGGGTTGGGTTGGGTTTGGGTTTAGGTAAACCCGACCCATGGGTACCCGCCCACACTCATATAATTAATTTTCTCGGCATATTTAATATTCTAAACAACTAATCTTATTTATGTTTGTGGAGACAAGTCTAATTTTTTCTTTCTAGTTATGTAGAATGAAGTTGATGTTATTGAGTGGAGAGTGAAAAACTTAATTGAAAGGAAGAAGCTTTCGATTAATCATGTTATTTATGGATAATTTGTGATTTCTTCAATTTTCTTGAGTTTTCTAGATTGGTGTTGAACAATTTGTGTAGTTAATTTGTGATTTGCTTGAATTTTCTAGAATGGTGTTTTATATATGGATAATTTGTATTGAGAGATTGATATTTGACTTTAATTTTGATAGGAATTTGTTATTGTGAATTTTTTACGACAAAAACCCGTGGGTACCCATGAACCCGCGGATACCCAGCGGGTTGGGTTGGGTTTGAGTTTTTCAAACCCAGTGGGTTTTACCCCGGGTTTTTTTCACGGATAAACCCATGGGTTTGGGTTTGGGTTTGGCAAAACCCGACCCAACCCGACCGATTGCCATCCCTAGGAATAGCTGCCCCTGCCTAGGCTGGTAGGGCTGCTGCTGTGGTGGGGGGCCCTGCCTAGCCTGGAAGGGCTGCCTCTGCTGAAAACCACCCGCTGGTGCTGGGAAACCAGGTGCTTTAGTGGCGTTACTGTTCCAGGCAAAGTTGGGATGCTGGCGCCACCCCTCATTGTATGTATTGCTATATGGGTCAAGGCGCCGAGCATTGGCGATGAAGTCCACCTGTTCTTGGGGGGTAGAGGACTCCCGCATAGCCTGACAGTCTTCCACTAGATGATTAGAGCTCTCACACCACTGACATTGAGCTACGGGAGGTCCGCCCAGACCTCTGCCCGGAATAAGACTGTTGGGCTGCTTCAATGTGTGCACTAACTCAGCCACCTGCTGCTCAAGCCCGGATCTTGTCTCCATGGCGTGCACACCACGGTCCCGGGAATGTCTGCCTCTGCTCTGCCCCCAGGAATGATCTCTGGCAGCCAATGTACTGATCATCTGGTTCAGTTCGGGTGGAGTCTTGGTAAGAATGTCCCCTCCTGGGCATAGAGACTCGATCACCCTCTGGCTTTCCGGAGAGAGAGCACTGTAGAAGTTCCCCACTGTGAATGCATCACTAAAGCCATGATGGGGACACTGCCAGAAAAATCCCATGTACCGCTCCCATGCATCACGAAGTGACTCATCTGGCTCTTGGCGGAAGTGGGTGATCTCCCGCTGGATCTCTGTAGTCTTTGATGCCGGATAGTACCTGTGCACGAATTTGTCAGCCAGATCGTCCCAAGAGGTGATGGACAATGGGGGTTGGGTCTCCAACCACCTCTTAGCATTCCCCGCCAGAGAATGGGGAAAGAGGTGAAGACAGATTGCATCATCAGGGACACCGTTCAGCTTGAACCCGTTCGTCAGCTGCAGGAAACGAGACAGGTGCACCCTTGCCTCCTCATCCCTCAAGCCATGAAACTGGACGGAGGATGTAATGAGTTGAATCCAGCATGGCTTGATCTCAAAATTATTCGCTGGAATGGGCGGATAGAGGATGACAGGGCGGATGTCAGCAACCCGTGGAGTGTAGTAGTAGTCCAAAGTGGGACCCGGTGGTGGTGGGTGATTCCCCAAGAGCTGATTCACCGGGGGAACCTGGAGAGGATTCCCCGGGGGTGGATTGTGATCTCCTTCCATCTCGTACTCTTCTTCGGACTCGCTACTCAAGTGGCCATCTATACGCTCCGCCGTAGCCAGTCTAGCTCACTGTTGTCTCCTGAGTTGGCGACAGGTGCGTTCAATCTCTGGATTCAACGGCAGTAAACCTCCCGACTGGCTACGGGTCATGCACTACCTGCACACAATCAAGCAAGCAAACCCGTGAAGGCACAAGTGGGAAGGAACAAACAGTTAATGCGAAAACGAAAGTGCTAAAGTAACAGATGTCACTTTCTTCAACAAACTAGCCGTACCCGGCAACGGCGCCAAAAACTTGACTCACTCCAACTGTCACACTAGAAAATGGCCAAGTGAAACCACTTCCTAAGGCGTAGTATAGCGGGTTTGGGTTTTAATGTCAACCCGGGTCCTAGATTTGATGACTACTCGGTGAATTCTTGTTATCTAGCAGTAAAACTTTAGTGCAAGTCCAAATTAACAAACAAACAAAGCAAGTAAACGGTTGTTTTCAGGTTAAGAGAGGTCACCCAGATATGGTTCCCCCTAGACTGCAATTTATCAAGTTCAGTTTCCATGAAAATTATACTGCGGAAGGTTCTTAAACAGCCTGAAGTCTCGACTAAAGGTCTTCAGACCCTCTCAATCTGAGTCTCCAGCGGGCGACTAACCTCCACCGGAGTAAACAGATTGAGGCCCTACGAACAAAACCTCCACTACCGAAGTGAATTCGGTACAGAATAGTGAGTTGGCTCCTCGACTAAAGTCACCAACTCCCTACCTTCAATCAAGGATGCTCTATCAACCTAGGCAGATATTCTCATTCTAGGTTAAAGCAGAAACAACATGAATTTGATCAGGATTCAAGTCATTCAATCATTCAAGCCTCAATCGAATATAATCAACTCATGAAATCTGTACTTGGGTTCATACAATCAGACCTAACATACAAATCTAGGGTTCTCCATACCCAGATGAATGGGAGAACTACTCCATGGAGAAAGAAGCAAAAGCAGA